ACAGAACAGCACGCCTCTGAAATATGTCATCTTTGTTTGTCTCATACAGGTAACAGATTCATTGTCCTTTATTAGCTACAACCGATGTTGCCAAATGGTGAAATAGAAACGAATCCCTTTAAATGTTGAATGCATCATTTCATTCCTCCTTTTGAGGTATTTAAATAATTTTTTAAAGAAAAAGGTTGAAATGATAAGTTTAAAACGCATTATTTTAGAGCTCTTTTATGAAAAGTACTTGATTTTCGTCAGGAGGAACATTCCCCGTTCAAACTTCATCAAATCACAGTTTTTGATGTCTTTGAATAATTCTAAAATAGTCATTTGTCGTATTAGTTCTAGAAAAACAGTTTTATGAAAAAAGAAACCTCATTATTTTTGGAAATTGAGTTGAATTTTCGTCAACTCTGTTGAAATATTAAATATTCGAAAAATTTGAGACTAGTATTTTATAATACACATGTTCCAGGTGATGGGATCAAAAAATAAAGGATGCGTGACAAGAAGAACCCACTTTGCCCGAACACCGATAATTGACATCTTTGGGGGGCAACTCAAGTCAAGCATACACCGTGCCGGAGACCACATCACCGAGAATATTCAGCCTTTCCTCACGCTGCCTCTCAACATCGAGGTATGTATAACGATAATAATGATGATTATAATGTAAAATATGAAAGCATTGTTGAAATGATGAATTGTTTTTCAGAAGAATAATTGTAACCTTGTTTTTTCCCTCAGAATGTAAAGACTGTCAGGGAGGCGCTTGAGGCACTCGTCACCAAGAACAGATTAGAGGGGCTGACTTCGTCGAAAACTAACGAGCAAGTCGAAGCGTGGGAGCAAGTAATGCTATGCGAACTTCCCGTTATCCTCATATTGCATCTGAAGTGTTTCGATTACAGCTACAACGGATGCACGAAGATTATCAAGGCCTTGGAGTTTGGAATCGACTTGAAAATTGATTCAAGTAAGTGATTGTTTTTCTTTTTTGATTTATGGCCGCCGTTACCAGAGCTTTTTTCATCGGTCTCTCCCAATTACATTTCATTATATTTCTGCTTGTCGACTCCTCTCACTTCCCATTTTCCGTACCTTGTTCAAGTTTCTGTCATATTATCTTCCGTTTTTTTCTTTTGATTCCTCTCTCTTGTACACTCTGTGTACAAGGTAAAACCTTTCTATCTAACCATCAGAAGATACATATTATTTTTTTCCTCTAATCTCTCTTCCTCTTCGCAACCTTTTTCTTTCCCTCCTCTAACTCTATATGTTTCCCTCTGTATCACCATTTTTTATTCATTTATTCCTCTATCTTTATTAATTAATTGATGATAGATATTGATTCATTCTCATTTGTAACCAGTACGGCATATGTTCAATTTAACTTTGGCTAATTCTGTATTTCTTTATATATCTCAATCCTCTCAAAATTTGCATTTTATTTTCATCGAATTTTCATCTGTTTTTAGTTCCACTTATCCTTATTCTATGCTTATCCTTTCCTCGCATATACTTAATGGGAAAATGTGTTAGTATCAAAAGATCCTGGTGAGTTGGTTGATGTTTTTTACAAAAGACTCTATGGTATCTCTGACGAATGCTTGCAAAAAAAAGAAATAAAGTACAATAATAAATTCCCCCATCGGTATAGCGCTGAACTTAGAAAAACAAAATCTGTTTAAAATATGTTTTTCCGTTAAGCAGCTGTCGCACCCCTACGAACGACAACCCTCAGAACCCCCAGTACAATTTGTTTTTCTCTTACTGACCGAGACTCCGACCGTTTTACCTTTTTTGACGTGGAAGGCCCGACCATGTCTCCCATTTTTTGAGTAGTTTGAGAACGGTGTAGAAATATAATTATGCAACGCTTAAACACTTATAAGCACTATTATTTTCACCAATTGTTATCACAACACGTCGATTGCTGACTAACTTAACTGTAAAACGTACAATTCACGCTGTATTATTCACAAATCAATGATACTCTCATGGCTGCAAGTACATTAGTGAGGACTGCAACGATGAGATGGAAGTTACGGTAAAGTGACAAAGAAATATCGTTGCGTACAGCGTTGCCACTAGTTGTAATAAATATCTAACACTATACAGAAAATAATGAATTTTAACTGATCAGTAATCAGGACATGTATAAGTATTACTCATTACAAGCTCATTACTGATTTTTGTTATAAATAATACCTTTTAATCGTACTAGTATTGTGTATTATCTATAATTTGCCACAACCTACAACTCTACTGCTTACTATATTTTGATTCTGCTATAAACTGGTAACGTAAAATTTAGATATGACAACGCGCTTTACTCTCAATCATTATTGGTTTCACTATAGGAAGAGACTTGAGAAGTCGTTCTCTCTCTCTCACTCTGTTCTAACGAACGCAGATCTAGTGGGCGGAGCCATAATGGAATTCAGAAAGCTCTTCCTACATTTGACAAGCTGTACTTTTACATTTATTTCGCATTCTCACATTATGTTGGTCTTCCTTTTGAATTTTTTGTTTTTTTCTTTTGTTCTGTTTCGCGAGAGAGAGGGAGAAAGAGGTAGGAGTTCTATTTTGGGAGGGGTAAAGAGAGAAGATAGCGATTGGGGGAGATAAAAAGGAGAAATTAGAGAATGGAGAGGATGCATTAGGGATGATGTAGTGAGGGAGATAGAGGGAGGGAATTAGAGAGTTTTGAGAGGGGGTAGGGAAGAGAGGGGGAGAAGGGAGATAAAAGAACGGAGGAGAACGATGGTGGAGGTAAGGAGGATGAATTTTGATTGTTTAAACAAAATAATGTAAATTTCTATGATATAACACTTACTTTTCTTCTTTACATATCAACTCGTGGTTTTCTTGTCTTGTGGCTTTCTGGTTTTCTTTGTATTTCTTTCTGTGTTCTCTTTATGTTACTTTTGTCAAAAATTTGTTTCTCGTCTTTACATTACAACGGTCTCTCTTTTACATTTCTTCTCGTCCATGTTTGTTGAGGGAGAGAAGACAGTGCTTTGGAGTGAGAGGGAGATTGGGGGAGATAAGGAGGGCATCAAGGATGATGGGGTAGGGGATGGATGAAGGGGATCAGGGAGGATTGAGTGGGGGGGGGGGGCAGAGATGAAGAAGAAAGGTGGGGGAGAAGGGAGATGGTGGGGGGAGTGATAATAATAATAGCATTTATTACCCAACAGTTAAAAACCATTTACAGGGTTAATTAAGTACGTTAAAAAAATTATATCGATCCCTATAATTACAAAGTTACAATTTGAGAAAATGAATGAATATTATGACATAATAAAATAAAATAGAAAAAAAAACTATACCAGAAAATTAAAAATTCTCCATGAAATACTGAGATGCAGTGTCAACAATATATTCTAAGGAATCATAATTGATATCACACAAATTTGAAATCAAATTGAAATTATTGCAAATGCTAAAGATAGGTGACTTGAGATACAAATTAGTTCTGGCCAGTTGGCTGTAAAAAGTTTTTGTACTTCTAGTTCTGAAATGAGGCACACAGAAAGTTATAAAAGATAACACCTCCATAGCATCCACATTGTTGTGCAGTGATTTATACAGAAAAATTATTCCAGCAAGTTTTCTACGTAATTCAAGACTTTCAATATTGAATTTTATGGTAAAAGATTCATATGGAATACCTCTATCAGGATAGATACCATAAGATTTGAAGTCAATAAACTTCAGGAAACGACGTTGAACTTTTTCAATTAATGTATTATAGCAATTGTAGAATGGAGACCATAGAACAGAGCCATATTGTAATTTTGACCTTACGAAGGCTGCATAAAGAGTCAATAGAGCAGATATGTTTGAAAAAGATCTACAATTGCGAACTATGAAGCCATAAACTCTCAAAGCTTTACTTACTTTCGATCTAATATGGTTGGAGAAAGACAAATTTTGATCAAAATATACACCAAGATCTTTAATTGAGTTACTTTGTGACAGTGAAATGGTATCTACTCGATAATTGTACTCGATGACTGACATTTTTCTACTATGAGACACTACTTTACATTTGGATGTATTGAGATATAGTTTGTTTACTTCACACCAAGTCTGTATATTTTCTAACTGTCGTTGCAATTTATTACAGTCTTCAACAGTTTCGACAGGTAAATATATTTTCAAATCATCTGCAGAAAATAACTTATTACAATGGACATAAATACTGAGGTCATTAGTAAATAATAAGAACAGAAATGGTCCGACATTCGACCCCTGAGGTACTCCAGATGAAGGACTGTAATAAAAAGAATCATAGCCGTTATAAGATACAAACTGTTCGCGTTGAAGTACGTAGGATTTAATGAAACGTACTGCTGAATTATGGAAACCAAATTGGTGGAGTTTTTGTAGAAGGATCATGTGATCAAGTGGATCAAATGCTTTAGCAAAATCAGTATATATCACATCAACTTGACCACGATTATCTAAGACATCACTAATATTTTGGGTCAATACAATTGAATTTGTTATGGTGGATCTGTTTGACATAAATCCATGTTATTGCGGAGATATGATATTACGAACTGAGGAATGTACGCGATTGTAGATGACAATTTCGAGAAGTTTTGCAAAGTTCGATAGGATTGAGATAGGACGATAATTCCGAATATCAGATAGATCTCCAGACTTAAAAATGAGACAAACTCGTGATATCTTCCATAATTCAGGAAAATTATTATTTTTAACTGCAAGATTGAAAAGTGTCAGTAAGGGATACCGATACACCGATGTAATCTTTTACAAAAAAGGACGGTATCTTATCAGGACCAGAAGTGAACTTATTTTTTTTAGTTCACGTGCCGCAATCAAGATTTCCTGTTTGCTGATGTTTTCAAAGTTTATATTATTATAAAAACAAGAAAGTAGAGAATGGAGAGGATGCATTAGGGATGATGTAGTGAGGGAGATAGAGGGAGGGAATTAGACAGGGAGAGGGGTTAAGGAAGAGAGGGAGAGAAGGGAGATAAAAGAACAGAGAACGATGGGGTAGATAGGGAGGGGTAGAGGGAGGATGAAGTGGAGGAGAGAGAAGGAGAGGATGAGGCAGAAAGAGGGGGGACGATGAGAGGTAGGGAGAAAGGGAGAGATTTTAGGTCAATGTACTTATAACTATTAGAGCAAGACAGCCTCTGCTTTTAATTCTTCCAGTTTTGAAATGGGTCGCTGGGATTTTTTCTGGAATTATGTCTGTGTTAAATTGATCTCCTCATTCATCAGGGAAGGATTTTGCTTTTGCAGAGTACAGTGGAATATCTTCTATTTGATTTGGCACTTGAAAAAAATTCCTTCTTATAATATAAGAAACTTTTCCAATCTTGTTTAAAACTGTACCATGTTCTTTTTTTTTTTGTGATCTCACTCTTTGGTTCCTTTCTTCTGAGATCAACAATTTGGGTTTTTTTTTTAAGTTGCGACTGATTTCAATTACCATCTTTTCCAGAACTGGTTTCGTCGAAAACACAGTCCCCAAAGGAGAAACAGTACAAACTGTTCGCCGTCGTGTACCACGACGGCAAAGAGGCCAACAAGGGGCACTACGTAACTGACGCCTTCCATGTCGGATATAACTGCTGGTTGAGGTACGACGATTCCTCGGTCAAGACAATACAGGAGGAGCACCTGCTGAAGCCGCAGGGAACGCGAGTACCCTATTTGCTGTTCTACAGGCGCAGCGATACGATCCGACTTAAATAAGGCCCCCCAAGGGGGATGAGGTTGCTGCGGTTACGTGGGGGCCAGGGAGTGGAAGCGGCCGGGCCATTTCCCACGAATACGGGCCGTCTGGGAACGTGCGGAATTCCTCTGTCGAGTTTTTACCGGATTTGTTGGTTTTAGTAGATTTTTATTCTTGCAGCGATGATCGAACAGCAGCGCGTGTCGCACGTTTTCAGTCGCTCTGCCAAACAAGTTTAATTAGGTATCTTATTTTAATAAATGAACTTTATACAGTTTGACATTTTTACCTGTAAATATTTATTATGATAGAGAATGTTATGCGAAGTGCATGTTATTATGATGATTCTGGAGGAGACCAATAAATTTTTTATTATTGAACATAGTGAAGTTTCAATCGAGAACAGTAGAAAGCAGTCCTCTCATTTTGACTAGTTCGAAGGTATCTTACAATTTGAGGCTTTTGGCGAACTTTCGAAAGCGCCCTCTTCTAAACAGTATACGAAGATGTGAAATACTGTCAAGGGTAGTTCTCACCTTTCATAAGAGATGGCAGTAATGTGCAATTTTTCAAAAATTTGAAACAGTTACTTTTAGTAGTCTATTGTGATTTTGAAGAATGAATGAGAATCAAACAATTTTCAGAGATATACTAAGACATTCCCAAAATAGCAGTTACCTCTTTTGAAGTATGGAAGTTTTATGAAACTTAATACTTACATTGTCACTTATATGGGCAGTTGGTATCTTCACTGAGAGATAGCAGAAGTATGCAACTTGTTATTTATATTTTGGAAAGAGCTAGTCAGAACAAAATAAATTTCAACTGTTCTTAATTAACGGACCATAAAAAGCTTCTAGATTTTTTTTGAATAGTGGAAGAAGGGCGACATAGTTTCAAATAATACAAAGCCCATAGAAGCTCATACCTGGCATTTTCGTGTACTGTAAAATTGTTAGTATTTACATCAACTACCAGAAGCAGTGATACCAACTGCTCAAAATCTTTTCCCCTAAACCTATTTCAAAACCCCCCTAAATTCAAACCAAGATACCCCAAATTTGTTTAGTAAATGAAAAAATCTAATGAAATATTCAAAGTTGCTATAACATTCAACAATTAAAAAGTTATTAGATTAATTTACCTTCATATTCTTATTATAACGAAGTTGAAAATAAAAAGGTTATTGAAAAATGTTACATAATATTTTTAAAACATGGTAACTTTTTTATTGCCTTCAAGTGAGTACGTCAGTAAACAACATCAACTAATAAATGAAAAAATAAATACATCAAATGCAGACACATATATGAACATGAATACTTATACTATATTATTTCCCAATTCATTAATAATTTCGAAAAACTCATCACCTTCCTGTTTTTCATTTGTGTCGAAATCAGTTATTCATTTCCTCCCTAAAAAATACCCTAAAAGAATTTCCCCCTCCAAAAAATCCCCTTTTTCAAATTATATCCCCTAAATTTAGGGGGGAAAGCCCCAAGTTGGCATCACTGAACAGAAGGCGAAGCTAATACACTGATGATGTCAGTATTTAACGTGATTACCAACGAACTGGGTAGCAGTCGCTGACAAACCAGTCTGCTTTTTAATTTAATTTTGGCGTACTTCGATATGATCCAGCCGACTGGTTGTCACTGTTAACAGCGACTGCTAGCTTATATTATATAGTAAATTATATAATAATGACAACTGACAGGACACATCACATAACCAAAATTTGAGCTACATTTTGGCGTCAAATTATTTTGTTCGAAATCATACTATTTTCTCATTGAAATTATTTCATTCATGACGTCATATCTGTCAAATATCGAAATAATTTCAAAAATGTTTCGAAAGAATGAGTGGTTGGAGGGGTGTACTATCATTAGAGGTGTTTTCTAGCGTTTAATCATATTTGAAAGTGTATTAAAAATGACTCGTAGTGTCGCCGTTAATAATCGCCAGAATAGAATGATTCAATTTGTGTCAGATGTCAAATTCAATAATAAAAACAAACTTTTCAATTTTCTCTAACCTCAATTGGAATCAAATTTGTGCATACATATTTTGAACATCCTTACAACGTATTTGATAAAACGTTTTTAGCCCTTATAAACTATAATGATCAACATGAACCAGAAGCTGACAACTGACGTAATGTAACGTCAAATTCCTCACGTAAGTTTCGAATCATCATGAATACGTCATCATTTCAACGCCAGAATGAATGAATTTGATGAGATGAGCGCGTTAAAAAGCCAGAGGTTATGTTTATGTTGTCGTTTGTGTGTTGTGTGAATGACGGCATACTTTGAAAACCAAATATTTTTGCGATTCGATTTTTGATGACGTTGATACAAAAGAATGATCTAATTCATCATAGCGAGTAAATAAGACTGTTTTCTTGCAAATGATTCTGTCAACGTCTTGGGAATAACAAAAAAAACAATCATTCCAATGGAGAAAAACAAGGCATAGAAACTGCTGCAAAAATCTAAAGGTTGTCTACCTCTGAAGGGCATGTGAAACAAATAATTATTTTAAAAGGAGTTTTGCGTAAAACAAGAATATCCATAGGTATTGATTATATCTCAACTCGAAGGTATTCAGGTACCTATCAAAAATCTAGTTCAAATTAGAAAATTTTCCTGTTGAACAAAATGAGTTTTCTGGCAAATGTGTTATCTTCAGCAGAAGAAGTTGAATTAGAGGAAATAAATAAGAAAGTTCCAGAGTTGAAATTGACTGTTGAAGATTTGAAAATGGAAATAGTTCAGTATATTGAGAACGTGTATGTAAAATATAGTTTTCGGCCAAAGCAAAACAAAGAATTGTTACAAAAAGCTTACATGATAGAAGAAGAAATCAAGTTGCTGAAGAAAAAAGCAGACACAGCCACGAAAAAAGATCTAATAAAATCAAATAAGGAATTAGAGGAGCACATTGATTCTTTAGAATATACAGAGTTCTCTATTCATGTTGTTTCAAAGCTTTGCGAAATTAATGGAAAATTAACAGAATTTGAATCCTTTTTCGATGCCAAAGAATATGTTAAATGTGCACAATTGCTATATGAATTAGAAGAGACCATCAATGGAATACCCAGTGATGAACGTGTGGATGTCATACATACTCTTATATCAAACATAGTGGGAAATAAAACCATGTTACTGAATGAACTGAACAATGTTTTTGGGAAACACGTTATTATGAATAATAAGGAACAAACCACTACTTTGGAAATAAGGAAAAACACTGAAGACTTGAACGAAGCTCTTCTGGCTCTTTTTCACAATACATCCGTAGCATATCCACTGCATACTTTTGCCAAATCTCTGTGGGACTTTTTTCTCGTACCTGCAATAGACAATAAACTGGAAGTTGATAGAGGTGAAAACGATAAATTTCGTTATATCCAAACGACAGGTAAAAAGGGTACTAATTATTTGGATGTTTTTGCCAGTTTAAAAACAATATTTGAATTTTTGAGAGATAATTTCAACTTCAAGTTGAATGACAATCTCACCACCTTAGAATACATCGGTATAGATATTAGAGATAATTTGTCAGAGTTACTGATAAAACACTGCTTGGAAGACACAATTCCCTCGACCGTGGAAGGTTTACAACAGTATAAAATCGTTATTGAAAACACCGAAAAGTTGGAGGAAACCTTGAGAGAATGTAAAATTTTTGTGCATGATACTACATCCATCGTTGAATACGCCAACAATATCGATATCCTGTTCATCAACAAAAAGTGTCAGGAATATTTAACCACATCCCAGGAAATAATGAAGAAAGATATGCATGACCTAGCCGAAGTTGGAGAGCCGTACGATCCAGAAAATCCCATATTTTGTAGCAGCGAACAATTCCTGCAGTGCTCGGTATCCAAGAGCGTTATAGAACTGCTGGACTTTGCCAAAAAAATAATGGAACAGACTCTGACCGCTTCGGATGTCTGTGCTGGCCGTTTGTTCTGCACATTGCAAAACATTTTCTATACTTACGGTAAATTTGTTCCTGAATTCCATAAGAAACTTTTGCAAACCATTCCTCAACAAGTAGCACTATTTCACAACAACTGTTTGTACATTGGACACACTTTGACAGCTTGGAATAAAACTTACTGTTTGAAGATGGCGCCATCTCTGAACATCGCCAATATTGGTTTCAGTGAAGAAGCTCATCAATTGGAGCTCATCGCTTCGGAGACTTTCAGTAATTACGTGAAGGGGCAGCTGAAACAGATCAATGATATAATGAGTGAAAGCGGTTTAGAAGGAGGTACTCTCGAGGAAATTCAACCCGTAACGGAGAAGAGCGTGAGGCAATGCATCAGGCAACAAGAATTGTTGAAAACAGTGTGGAAGAACGTCCTTCCGTATCCCCTGTACAACAAAACTTTAGGTGAAATACTGAACAGTTTATGTGTTAATTTCATAACGTCGATCATTAAATACGAGGACATTTCCCTGAGTTCTGCTGAGCAGTTGGTGGAAATAATCAAAATAATATTGAATCGTGGCTCAAAACTATTCACGGATCCTAAGGAGGTCAGTTTGTATGTCGCCTCCTGGTATAAGCTGAACGAACTGAACTTTGTGTTGAGTGCTAGTCTACTGGACATCAACGATCGGTGGGCTGATGGAAAAGGCCCTCTGGCTATTCAATTCAAGCCAAATGAGTTGAAATCTCTTATTAGGGCTCTGTTTCAGAATACTGACAGAAGATCAGCAGTGCTGGCTAAAATTTTATAATATATTTGTATTAAGTTCAATTCTTCATGTTTTCTATTAAATACAAGAAAAACTTTTGTGACTTTTTACTCGTCCAACTCAAAATGATTATCATTACTAAATATTTTCAATTTTATTCCTTTACAAAGTAGATGAGGTATATATATAGAGCAATCACTCTTATGTTTGAGCATTAGAAAAGTCTTTGGAACCGTTGTGAATTACAAACCTCGAACTTCTTATTAAAAAAACACTTTATTGTGAGATTTTCATTAGTAAAGTTAGTTAATACACGCCTGAAGAAGTCATTGTATGGCGAAACACGTGTTGCGTTTCTCTAAATCTGTTTAATGGAAATCTCGCAACGAATTGTTTTTTTTTAATAAGATGGATGGATTTTATACCTTTTTTATGTTCTTTTTGAATAAAAATGCAATATATTGAAAATAATGTAATGAAACATATTACATGTTTCCATCTAGACAACTCAAGTAATAGTGACTTAAAAATAACAAAGTAACTCTGCCTTCAGACACAGATTAAGTACTTCAGGTACTTCTTAAGACTCAGGTACTTGGCAAGGGCAGTGACGATCGAGTTCTTAGAATTTATTAGTCGGGTGCGACTAGACAACACGATTGTCCCATGAATATAGGCACATTTGACGTAACAATGGATTTTTATCAAGTATCGGCCAATACCATCATATACTCTAACTTCATGATTAGAAATAATAGACTGCCGACATATATTCACAAGAAAGGGGGGTATTTACTCTGCCCTGTCCGAATTTATCCATGAAATTGCAAAAAAGCTAATAATAATGTACATGATTTTACAATTCTCCACGAACCATCTTACAGGAACGTCATTATACACAATTCATCTATACATTCATATCAACATAAAGTAGCAGCATTCAATAGTATGATTGACAGACTGTTGAATATTCCACTTTCTGAAAGCAATTTTCAAAAGGAACCGATCTTCACAAAACATACTGTTGTCAATAACGGTTACGAGGTCGATATTATTGACTCAATTCTTTCTAAAAAATTGCATTTACATTCTCTGAACCAGATCGATCCAGTTTTAAAGAATGATACTGAATATTATTTAACTCTAACAATTCTAGATGGTACAATATAACTTTTGAATTACTGCGACTTCTGGTAGATGGTAAAACCACAGTAGAAAATTGGTCTAGAGCATTCTACTGTGGTAGAACCATTGTCTAAATATTAACAATTGTAAAACATAATTTCTGAGAGTTGATTGTACCTTCATCAGAAGATGATGCGTGTTTCAACAATTTAAGTTTCACTTAAGGTAGCAACTCATTCATGTAGAATGTGGCTTTCGACTGATTGTTGGTCTCGAGAAGGACCAATTGGTTCATGACTGATTGTATGACGGCATGAAGTCTTTAGACATTAGTGCCGCCCTTCACGGGATACCCCTACCTGGCTGGGGTGGGATGGATGAGAAAGTTGTTCATCCGTTAACGGGGACATGAGAGCCTCATTCGACAGAGTGTCGGGGATTAATATCAACTTATTGTTATGTTGCCATTACAAATTGGCAACATAATTTCTGTAATCGATAGAAATATCAACTATTGGCACCATCAGAACTACCCCACTTCCACTAGTATATAGATATCTCATTTCTGACTTCGTGGAAGTGGAAAGTTTAGACCTTCAATAACAGATGGCAGCATGCAAGTTGTTCTTCACCCCTTCAATGTAAAATCCATAATTTTTCTCTTCTATTTGTGGAACACGGATGTTATAATTCGAAAAACCAAATTCATCCAAGCAATGATGGAAAGAATATGCTTTATTTTCAAAATTTACATATTTTTGATTATACCCGCACAATAATGGAAACAACAAAAAAAAAACAATGACAAAAGTATAATTTTATTTATTGATACCAATAAAATAACAACTCAATTACTCAACAAGCATATAATGTGAATATAGTCACTCTTCATATAAATTTTTAGAGATAAATAAATAAACCTCTTTTTACTGACCCTTCTTGAAATTCCGTCAAATTATAAAAAAAATGATGATAGCCCAGGAAAATTAGTAACTAGTCTTTAACTAGATCTCCAAACGAACGATATCATTACAAACCAAACGAAACTCATCCAACACACTAAAGTTTCTCAGAACGAGGATCCGCGTAATGTACAGGAGAAACAGATAAGATTTGAAAATTGCACCGATCTTTGGGAGAACACTGTTCTTAATCTATCGTGCTAACAGTCAGTGAAATTTCTGAAATTCCAAATTTGTTTATACTAAAACATCAATTAGTACTACTAGACTCCTAGAAACAACTAAAAATCCTAAAAATAGGATCGATACTCACTTAGACGTTACTACTTTATGAAAATATAAAAAAATATTTTTTCAATTACCAAATTACATGATAAGGAGTGAATTTGTTTCGCGAAACTCTGAATATGCACTTAACACTATTTATAAAATCCATTTGTACCACTTGTCTCACGAACTTTCAAAACGGCGCACCGAGAATTTCTCTATCAATTTATTTTCGCAAAATTCTCTTGGCATTCAGCGCTCGTCCAGTGGCTTACAAGAATGTCCTTTTCAGATTTTATAGCCGCTTCCGTGTCTTTCAGCATGCGGCTCCTCAGCTGCCTCTTCGTCGACTCCAAACACTAAAAATTAAAATATTCATTAAACTCCAATGATTCATTTAATACCAAAAATGATGTTTCACCCAAAGACAACATTGGAAATGACGTGAAGTAGCTTGGTTGGAAATATTTCTTTTTTGCATATCTTTGCATCATTTTTATTATTTCGAAAGAACTACTTCACCGCTAATACCACGCTGGATATTGAATTACATCCAACAGATATTTTTGCAACTGTAATAGTTTTTCGGGAAAATAAACATTGATATTACTATTATACATTTATCTTATCTTTCTCAACCCATTTCCTAATTCATAAGAGATATTTTCTCCCTATGAATTGAACCGTGCATTAGTTCGACTATATTTAGCGATAAGTTGTTCTCACGCGTCTGCGAATCGGCCATACAAAAATAACACACCTTTACTTGCTCGTAGGAGAACAACAACCTCTATGTACTACATGCCAAACAGTACTAACGGTACAACATATACTTGTAGAATGTCCAAAATATGAAGAAACCAGGAGACAACACAATATAACTGGGGCAATGAAAGAAATTCTATGTGATGAAAGACGAATGTTGAGCAACATGATGGCATTTTTGAAAGCCGCAAATATAATAGATGAAATTTGAAAAGCAAACAAGTCCGCGGCTAATAACCTAGCAGTTGATGCCGGAAAAAAAAAAAAAAAAACTTGAGATCGGGAAAATTACAAACCAATACGGATTTGACCCAAATCAGTTGGTTTTGAAGAAAAGTTTTAGAAAAGTGGTTGATTTTATACGGAATAATTATAATAACTAAGGTAATTATGCGGTACTTGTCTTCGTAGACCTAAAAAAAAATACTGAACATCACTGATGATACAATTCTCATTTAAAAAATCGGAATAAGAAAAAAAACTAAATCTTTCATGCTCAAATTTGAAAATCAAACTATATGCACTCAAATAACTGAAGTACTATCTGATCAGTGCCATATTTACCTTAATATCATACTTAATATTAACAATGTTTGTCAATTTAAATCATCAAGTAAGTGGATCCATCGTACGTGCTTTCATTTAAAAATAAAAATTCATCTTATTTTCTGAACTGACACCATATATAGTACGTCTTTCACAGAGTGGGCGATAACGCCCCCTTGTGGGCGCCGGAGGCCTATTGAGGGGGAGTAAAGGGCACAGATAAAATTGGGGGGCTTTGAAGCGGTTTACGGGGACAATGACTAATTTGAAAATGTTTTTTTTTGCTTTCAACACAAACTTTACCGCTCCTTTACGCTTAACGCGCGTTTCCTCATATAACGCCATCTAGGGGACTAGACAGTAACTATTTGGGTGTTGGATCCTTTTTCAAATTTCAACACAGCAGGATCTCCCCAGCTGGAAGAACTCATAGAACTAATAACGAACAAGGAGATAAAAATAAAATTAGAAAATGGATACCAAGAATTTTGGCTACAAAAGCCCATCCCTTAATGGGGAATGTTCCTCAATTTGGGTTGTTACAGCAAATGGAAGTTTGAACAAAATAAAGTTGAGTTTAATTCATGAGTTTTTCAAATTCATTTCGAAAAGTATTCAAATTGATGTTTCAAATGTTGGGTTTTAATTTTTAAAGGAATTTGTTTCTAATTCACATATTGGCAACAGCACCTATATCAAGCTGAAATAATTTATACGTACCTAGATATTCTACTTTAAAAAAAGAAAATTATCTTTATAAATCAACAATTGAGGCTAAATATAAATTATAGTTCAATACCAACTCCACAAGCCACATAAACAGTTGTTTTGTTATTTATTTATATATAGGAAGATACGTTAGGTGCACAAAATGTCATATGTCACAGAACTAGGAACATAAGTAAACAGAACAGTACGCCTCTGAAATATGTCATCTTTGTTTGTCTCATACAGGTAACAGATTCATTGTCCTTTATTAGCTATAACCGATGTTGCCAAATGGTGAAATAGAAACGAATCCCTTTAAATGTTGAATGCATCATTTCTTTCCTTTTTTTTGAGTATTTAAATAATTTTTTGAAGAAAAAGTTTGAAATGATGAGTTTAAAATGCGTTGTTTTAGAGCTCCTTTATGAAAACTACTTGATTATCGTCAGTAGGAACATTCCCCATTGTACCCTGGATCTTGGTCCATCGTTCAACGATTTTTGATAGCATGATTGATAACATGAATAATAACATGAATAAAAGTTTTCCTAATATTACAAAATGGTGTTTTACATTATCTCATCGGAAAGTCTAATTTTCACATGACACACATAGTTTCCCATCAACACAACATCGAGTGGTCCCAAGCTGAGATCTTGCACAGAGAGGAACATTGGTTCAGAAGAAAATTCAAGGAAGCCGCATACATGTTGTCCAACAACGTATTCAGCCAGGCCAGCGTAGATATACGAAACATATGGAAACCCATCATCAAACGAAAAATGACCAACTCCCGCCAAAACGGTCATCTCTCACGGAATCAGTGAAGCGGAAAATGGAAAGTAGAGAAAGTGAAAGTATTTCAACGACCTATAAAATAGTCATCTCTCGGAGGAATCAGTCCAGTCATCACCCGAAAACGATTGTAGATACCAACAATCGAAACGTCGTGAACTAACGTGACTTGGAATCTCTACACTTTTTTATTTTTATTATTTTCTTTTTTCATTCCTTTAATTTTTATTTATTCAATTATTGTATTTTTACTTGTAGGTTATTTCACTATCAATTCATTTCAGGTTTATTGTTGCTTAATATAATTGTTATTTTCAACTATTCTTTTTTTTTAATTATTCTCTTTTACTTGTTTCAGGGATTTCAAATCATTTTATATAGTAGACAATGGAAGTCCGAACTAGTGAAACACACATAGTTTCATTATTAATATAATGACTGCGATTGTGATTATCAAGATGAAGTAAAGTAATAAAATTTGGGTGGCGCTAGAAAATAATTAATTCTTGAAGTCGGCGGTAGACAAAATAAGTTTGAGAACCTCTGATATATAGGTAAGAACAGTGTTGTGTGATTATACAGTGTTGTGTAATTATACAGTGTTGTGTTGTGTAATTATCATCATTATCTTACCTGTTTAGAGCCATGAGACACAGAATTCACGATATTATTCAGAGTGTCTTTGTACTTTTCTGGCCAGCAGAGTTTGGAGATCAGGCCGCGTCGCAAAGCTTCATCAGCGTTCAAGGTTTGTCCCGCATACAACAATTCCGTAGCCTAAAAAAAGCAAAGTTCAAAACCAAACTATCATTTCGCAGTAAAAAAAATTGCTTACCAGTCCAGCAGTACACAAATTCGGATACGACAGCAGGAATCCAGCTTCCGGCAGACACCCTAGCCTGGCGTAGGTGGTGCTAAACGTAGCCTTGTCACTGGCAATGATCATGTCAAAGAGGGGAAGCATTGTCACACCCAACCCGACGCAGTCTCCCTGCACGCCGGCAATCAAAATCTTGGGGAAGTTGAACAGGCACAACAGAAATTCCCTGAAAAAAAAAAAAGTCAAAAATTGCTCGAGCGGTTTTCTTCTGGAATATCTCAATATCCGGCTCGAAGGACCAACTTACTCGTTAATGAACAAATACTCACCCAACCCTTTCCGCCAGTTCAGAACATTTCTCTATCCTTTCGTTCTCCTTGCTGGCTACCAGAGAACCGTAATCGAGACCCAAACAGAAAGCTTTGCCCGTCGAAGTTATCAAAACGACCGTACAATCTTTATCTTTTCCACATTTTTTGAGGGCAGCAGTTAGTTCTTCCAGAACCTGAAACATGCAAATGAAAGTAAATCTCTGCTAAATCGCTACCAAAACTGTAACCAACCAACCTTGACATCAAAGAAACACTTTTCGTCAATGTAGTTCAAATCGATAACAATCTGTTTCCCGGATTTCCTCACAGTGAAGGATTTATACGGGCTAGCCTTGGTGATCTTGTGAGCAGGTTTGTTGGGCGATTCTTTTTCGGGTGTTTCCGTTTCAGAAGCAATGTCTTCTTCCTTGCCTGGTCTAGGACTGTCTGAGGTTGCCTTCTTAGCCTTTTTCAATTTGGGACCGTCGGATTTTTTCTTGCCGAATTTTGGTACGAAATCCATATCTGCGTCTTCCACGCTCGAGATGGAGCTGCAACAAATGAGATGATCGACTATGGTGAGATAATTGAATGACATATTTATAAAAAAAAAGAAATCTAAAGAAATGAACTTTGAAAGTTCAAAAGAAAGGTGGAAACACCTCATTCCATCTACAATAATCTTTCTCGAAGCGGGCATAACGCCCCCTTGTGGGCAATGGAGGCCTATAGGGGGGCGTAAAGGGCACAGAGAAGATTGGGAGGCGTTGAAGCGGTTTAGGGAGCGATGGCAAATTTAAAAATGTTTTTATTTTTCTTTTAACACAAACTTCATCGCTCCCTTACGCTTAACGCGCGTTTCCTCGTGTAACGCCATCTAGGGGACTAGACAGTAACTATTTCTTGTCCGATAGTTGTCAAACTGTATAATAGATGGCGGTAAGCTTCAATACGAAACGAGAAGTTTCTAGTCTCCATTCTCGAAAGTACTAGGCCCGTCCGCTTCTAAGCAAGACGACGACGGACTCCTACAATATCTCCTTACTAATTGCTCAAACAGATAAACCTCACACTATTGGAGGATTTAATGTAACCGACAATAAAATAAGTAATAACCACTGTGCTCCATAAACCAGGGGCAGATATGCGAAAACTCCCTTTGAGCAATAGTTCCGTGCAAAGACGAATTGATGAGATGGCTGAAAACATTGAAGAGTCATTGTGCAATCATCTGAAGACTTCTAAATTCTCAATTCAGTTAAATAAGTCCACTTTACCAACCAATGAAGCATTTTTATTGTCTTACGTGAGGTTTATTAAAAATGAGAAACTATATCATGAACTACTATTTGCTAGAAATTTAGAGACGGATACAAAAGGAGAAACCGTATATAATACACTGGAAAAATGTTGTGATGAGAAAGAAATTCCACCAAAAAATATTATATCAGCTGTTACGGATATGACAGGACGTCACAAAGGCTTCATAGCATATCATCATATGATATCATATCATCAAAGAAGTCAATGAAATCCGAAACAGCTCTTTAAATGACAAATTATTTAATCAGCTTTGTGTTGCTAATGATGAAGATTCCAACTGATTGCTATTTCACGCAGAAGTGCGTTGGTTATCAAGAGGTAACTGTCTCACTCGATTTTACAATCTATTTGACTCCGTAATAGAGTTGTTGGAAAACAAAGACAAAGAATTGCACGACAACCTCATCACTTCAAAGAATGATACTGCGTAATTGACAGACCTGTATAAATCATTTAATGATGTCAATCACCAACTTCAAGGTGAAGACTTGAATTTGAATAAAACAAAAAAGTTTGCTGCTTTTGTAGTCAAATTGCTCAAATTGCTACAAGAATAATATCAGCAGACGTGAGTTTCGCAATTTCCTTAATTTGTCAGTGGCATCCTTCAACAACGACGACTTGCTTGTTTACTGCCAACATTTGGAGAACCTTCACAGTCATTTCGCATAACGATTCCAGAACATTTCAAAATTGGAAATACCGGACTGGGCGTTGGATCCTTTATCAAATGTCAACACAGCAGGATCACCCCAGTTGGAAGAAGAACTCATAGAACTGATAACGAACGAGGAAATATTACATGAAGTGAGATTTGAGTTCCTGTTCGTTCAACTAGGAACAATGATCTTTTTGCTGTCCCTAATCATCATACTAGGATTTTGGTCCAGAACTAGTCTAGTTCATTTACTACATCCATTTATTCATGTGTACGGGTAATCCCCTCGAAAAAAAAAAAAAACGAAATATACAAATACAGTAACACCTTAAAACCAACTTAACCTCAATGCATGTATAAATGTAGACACATTTCAATTAATTTGTTATGAATGTTTTTTAATTACAGCAACATACCTGCTTGACCTTCTCCTGATCAACATGGAACTCTGCGAGTGTGACGAGAACTGAAAACTCGGGGACCTCGGAGGAGTGTGGACGGAGCTGCGCGTCGAGTCCTTGGACATCTTGCGTTCCATCGCGACGGCAGGTTTCAAGGGTGGTGAAACAGTGGCGGGGCCTTCCTTTTTCCGTAGCGTTTTCGGCGATTCACTGCTGCCGCTGGTGTTCTGAACGAGATCGTTCTTCAACTGATTCGCCTTCTTGATGATCTCCTTCTCAGCCTTCTCGATCGATATGAAGTCTTTTTTCTTCTTCGTAGCCGGCGAATCCTCGGTCGATTTCAGTTCGTACAGCATCTTGACGGCTCCTTCATCCATGAGCAGTCTGTCCACTTCCGACAGTCCTGGAAGATCAATCACAAAATATTGCTAAATAAACTTCATACAATTCAAACCATATTCAGAAGGTGAACATTAGAAACATTAAGTGAATGTGGGGCACCTCAGGGATCTGCCCTAGGGCCTTCACGCTTTCATTAATATTGCGGCGCCCAACGTGGGGCGCCGCGACCTTGACATAAAAAACTAACCTCTTTTTGATTTGACCGGCGTCTTGGTTTTGGGGCTTTCGTTCCTGGTAGCCTGAGGTTTTCCCTTTTCCACCTTTTTCACACCCTTCTGTTCTGGGGATTTCCCCACGGCTACTTTCTCGCTCGCCGTCTTTTTACCAATACTCTTATCGACTGAAGATTTCTTATCAGATGCTTTACTGTCGCTAGACAACTTCCTCTCAGAAACTCTGCTCGTAACAGACTTTTTATCAGAGGACTTTTCACCGGTGCTCTCATCGAGATCGGCTGCTTTAGACTTGACCTCTGCAGGCCTGACTGTTGGTTTGGGCGACCTAGCAGGCACCTCGTCGTCCGGATCCCAGATAACCTTCTTCTTGATGACCCTTGAGCTTTTTGTAACGTACACATCCGCAGGCATGGCCAGGGGATCCGTTTTATCTGGTTTGAACTCCGCGTCATCAAGAATAGTTCGTTTTGGAGAGGGAACATCGAATTCCGGCGCGTCGGACGTTTTGCGCTTTCTCGAGTACGTCTTCAGCACCATGTTGACCTTGACCTGAGGCTCTACTTCGATGGGCTGTCTCCTCGGGACAGGACTCTCGTTCGTGACGACTTCCTTCATCGGGGAAGGTGACGAGTAGAGTTTTACCGACGAAGGGTTTGTTTTCTCTGGGGACTGGTGCGGTTTTAGGAGTGATACAGGAGGTTTATCGCTTTTTGTTTGTTTCGGCGGGGAAAAGACTCGCGGTTTTTCCACCTTCGTCAGTTTCGGCGGAGGCTGAGTCGTTGGGAGGGGCGCGGCAGGGATTTTGGCTTGGCGAGACTTGAAGATCCTCTGTCGGGGCACCTGATGGGGCAGTTCCTGAAGTTGTTGCAGGGCGATCTCGCGTTCAAGCATCTTTAGATTGCTGCCGTCGTTCTGTAAGAATATAACATCACTTTTATTAATGATAATAACAAACCTTCTGCAGAAGTTGATGGACAATGAATGTAATGGAGCAATGATAATAATAATAATAGCATTTATTGCCCGACAGATCGTACAAATCCCTTACAGAGCAATACTGAAATAGCTAAAGTTGAAGAAAAAAAACCAGAATGCTACCTTACTAAATACAAAAATAGATAACATGTACAGTGGAAAAAAACAAGTAAAATAATACAGGTCTCCCATTACATGCTTTATTTGCTTCAAGCTATCCCTGAATAAATCACAAGAGTTACACATTTTGTTAAAACTATCACACATTGTGCTGATTGGTTATTTCATAAGGACATTGCTTCTTGGTTGGGAATAATGGTCTGTTTCACGGGAACGAACAGACAGTTGACAAAATTTTTGAAGTTCATAAATTATCTTCGCCCATTTATCACATTTACAGTGGAAATAGAACAGGACGAATCTATACATTTTCTGGATTTGACAATAGCAAAAGTTAACAACAAACATGATTTTCAATTTAAAGATAAAAGTTCAGTTTCAGAAAAATCCGGAGTGTATAAATTATCATGTGGGTCATGTCCGATGTTTTATATAGGTCAAACTGGAAGAACGTTCAAAACCCGCATAAAGGAACACAAATATAGTTTTCAGAACGGAAAAGTAAATTCCACATATGCCAGTCATCTAATCTCAGAGGGACATGAGTTCAACCATGAATACGAACCCCTCCATCTCCAGAAGAAAGGTTTGAAACTTAACCTGTTGGAGAGTATGGAAATAAACGATCAAACTGACTTGAATAATTCGCCATTAGTGAATCTGTTCATAGCCAGGTAATAATAGTTAGGTATATTTACAGGTAGACTTTCGAAAAATGTATTGATAACTGACTTTTCCAGGTATATTTTTTCAGGTAGATTTATTACTTAGGTAGACTTAGGTACTAGTATATAAGGTTGTAATTTAAAAGTAACTCTTAGTTATGCTTGAAGAAGCTATTGTATAGCGAAACATGTGTTGCGGTTTTTCTAAAACCCTTATAGTGAAAATCATAGAATAAACTCTATTGATTAGTTTTTTTTATAATTAATGTACTTTATGTAAATAACAGAAAATTACAGAAAAGAAAAAAAACTATATCGCACATATTCTATATAGGATAAACGTTTACATATTTACTTATATATTCATACAAAACAAAGTCTTAGTTATTATTATACTTTAAATATAAATTAGCTTCAATTCAGTTTTTCGTTATGAATGTTACCAAGTCCCTCTTGAATGGACGGAGAGAAGAAGAGTTTCTTATGTTATTTGGTAGTTTATTGAAACTGTCCAGACCTTTGAAAAATAACGAGTTCATACTGCTACGTGAATTTGTCCTTGGGATGTGAAAATTGGTGTTCAATCTAGTATCATGATGGTGTACTTCACTATTTGTGATTAAAAGCTTTACTAAGTATATTGGTTGCAATTTATTTATTATTTTAAATATAAATATCATAGTTTGATAATACAATGGTTGAGAGACATTAAGACACCTTAAACTACAGAGCATATTATGTATAGGTGTCATTCTATTGCAGAGCAATAAAATTCGCATTCCACGATGTTGTAAGTTTTGTAATCGATTTAATTTGTTCTGAGTCAAGGGATATAAGAGAGTCCCGCAAAAATCGTAATGAGGTTTTATTATGCAATTATAGCACGTTATTTTGGTTTACATTGATGCCACTCTAGAAAAAAAAGTTTCTTTAATATTTTGCTTATTATACAGTCAGCATGATCATTCAATGAAATTGTATTGTCTACAATGAACCCTAGATACTTAATTTTACTCACTATTTCTACATAAGTTTCGTTAATTTTAATTTTGACTGTGTTTCTCCCAATTTTATTTTGTTTATTCTTTGTTGTAATGATCATCGCCTTAGTTTTAATGATATTAATGTTCAGTTTATTCATTCCAAGGTACAACTCAATATTTTTCAATGAATTATTCATCTTTTCAATAGCGACTTGCAAGGTTTTATCGTAGGTATATATTAATGTATCATCTGCAAATAAGTTAATCACATGATCATCATCTACGTAATTGATATCGTTTATATAAATCAGAAATTGTAAAGGTCCTAATCCACTACCTTGTGGAACTCCAAAAATCATTCACTAACTCTTGTGAGTAGCACCACCTATTAATTTTTGTTATTTGACTCCGCGAACTGAGGTAACTTTTCATCCACTTCAAAACTACAATACCATAATATTTGAGCTTTTGGATTGATATATCTCTGTCTATTGTTTTGAATGCCCTCTTTGAATCCAAGAATGTACAAACAACGTAACTATCTTTATCAATTTTTTCTTTCCAAGCAGTATATGAGTTCCTCATATACTGCTAATTCCAATACCTTTTCAAGGGTTGGAAGAGTATTGATAGGACGAAAGTAACGTGCTTCATAAGTATTATTTATTTTTGATATTGGTATTACTGTGCTTATTTTGAAGTGTTGGAGAAATTGTCCCGCCCCAAGGTGTTGAATGTCTCTTTTAGAAATAGACTGTTCATTATCTCAGATCTATTAATTTTATTCATTGAAAATTATTATATTTTTCAACTGCGGCAAGTCTATCTCTTTAAAAGAATTTAATTTACAATTTACTATGTCGAAACTGTTTGAACTCCAGTCGGACTCAGAATTTATATTGTTTACATTTCACCTATACTATTGACAAAATATTCATTGAATGCATTTTCAATATAAATGTCTGTGCTACAACCTTCTATTTGATAACCGACATTGATCTATCTGTTTAAAATTATAACTTTCAATTGGATTTATAAGTGATTTTAAATATTTCCACATTCCTTCCGCATTATGTTTATTTTCATCAATTTTCTGTTCATAATAACGCCCTTTCATTACTTTCAACATATTCAGTTATTTCTCATTCTCTTATAATTTCCCAATTTATATGTTTACGTAACTTTGTACTTTGTTTAAATTTTTTATAAGCTAAATCTCTTTCCTTTGCTTTGATTTTCAATTCACTATCACAGTATGGGACTTGATTTGATTTTATTTTAAATCTGTTTTGTGTGCGATAAAACTCTGAATATCTAAATAAATTATATCCTCATTATAGTGTAGTGGTTGACTATCAGGCTTCACTAATTGTTTTTAAATAGATCAGGAGTATATCTTACGGTCCTTGTCCAAAACTTATATATTGGCCAAACGGGGAGAACCTTTTCCCTAAGAATAAAAGAACATAAGTAGCTTCTTGAATGTGAAGCTATGTGAATGTGAATGCAGAGCTTTTTTGACAGAGAGGCATGAGGTGAGTCACGACTATGACGTGTTACATTTGGAAGAGAAATGATTGCAATTCAATCTTTTGGAATGTTCGGAAATCAGAAGACTTGAAAATTCCAGATCTTTTACTGAACGACCAAATATAATTTGATAGATCCCCTTTGTTGAATCTTTATTGAATTTATTGTTCCAATGTTGAACCAAATAACTAGTTTATACATAAACCCGGGTAATTTTCCTCATATCCATTAAAACTAGTTATTGGTAATTATTTTATATGTGAACTCAGTTGAAATTACTAGACATTAAATTAAATAGGTAGAAAATGTCTCAAAAATCAAATTATCAATTTATATAAAGCATTGAGTGGGCAGAATTTAATTAGTATCAACATGCCTGAAGAACCTATTGTGCTGTGAAACGCTGTTGCAGTTTTGTAAACTGTAGTAGAAATCTAACAACGAAGTGTTAATTTCAAACATTATCATGGATTTTCTTGAAGTTCCAGCAAATTCCATCACATAAACATATGATAAGTGGATATCAAGTGATTTTTACTGAATGTTATAATGAAAATTCTAAAGCAGACTGTGATAGCTCAAAATTTGTGAGCAATTGATAAACTACAATCAGGAAATCTTCAGAAGACTAACCACATAAACTCGAACCCAATTTCACCTTCACTAACACCAATAAACAATAAGAACCTTCACTAACACCAATAAACAATAAGAACCTTGAAAACAGAGATAAAGAGACTGGAATATCAGTTAAAAACTGTTGAAATGGAAAAAGCAGCTTTGATTACTATTTTATAAAAACTGAAACAAAGGACAAAAAAACTCGAACTGAAATAAACTCATCAACAAAAGAAATGAACTCTAACCTAATGGGAATGCTGAAAGGAACACGTTCAGAGGTTGAGTGGAAGAACAGTTTATTTTTATTGCCCTTAGTTGAAATCAAACTGAACTCCGCCTTTTATTTCCCTGCAGTAAAAATTTTATTGTATGAAACTTTAATTAACTCAATATTGGGAGATAATACAAACGACTTGTTATTATTCTGAACTCGATTGCTTTCTTCTTCCTTTAAAAAGATGGAGAAGTATGAAGCCAAAAAACTATTTCTCCCAAAATCACCCTATCGAATCCACACCAAAGACTAACTTGACTAACATGAAAAACAAATCATATTTTATAAAAAAAAACTCAAATAGTATACAGATGTATGAATGATAGTTGGTATCAAAGTTTCTGCGAAAAATTTCCTTAAGAACGAGTGAAAAATACATTGATTGCCAATACTTCGTCGAGTACTTTAAAAATGAGGAAATGCCAAAGAAAATTTTTTTACTAACAGCAAATTATTCTATAATTTATGGGAGCAAGAAAATATATAATCATTTTACCTAATTCCGTGCGAGAAATCAAGTATCTCAAAATTTTCAGAAATTCGTTAGAAGAATTACTTCTACACAAGGCTTATTTTGATCTGAAAGAACATAGATACATTACGACCTTTACATGTATGCGGTTATGCTTCTATATATTCATTTATGCATGATTAATTTTATATTTTACTGTAATAATAATTGTTCATCTTATATAACAAACTTTGTTAATAAGATTCTATATTGGACAAAAAAGCATATTTTGACCGATTGATCATGTTATTACTGTAGATTACAAGGCATAATGAGAAACTGGTTCTATGTTCTTCAATGTGTGCTTTAAGTGTTCTTCTAGTCTGACCTATGTAAAACTACACAAAAATTTGTAAACACCAGTTCTGAAGAAAACTATTATAGTGAAATTATATAGCATAGTGGAAGATCCAGAAAATGTATGACTCTTTTGTTCTTGAGTACCTTCACAAGATAACATTTTTTAAGATAATTCTAAATCCTCAATTCTTTGCCTTGATTCTTTGGAATTTTTCAACATGTTTTGGAATTAAAAGCAACCAGTAGAAGTTATTTTTTGAACCATTTCATATTTAGGTATTCCAATGGGGAATGTTCCTCCTGACGAAAATCAAGTAGTTTTCATAAAAGAGCTCTAAAACAACGCAGTTTAAACTTATCATTTCAAACTTTTTCCTTAAAAAATTATTTAAATACTTAAAAAAGAGGAATGAAATGATGCATTCAAAATTTAAAGGGATTCATTTCTATTTCACCATTTGGCAACATCGGATATAGCTAATAAAGGACAATAAATCTGTTAACTGTATGAGACAAACGAAGATGACATATTTCAGAGGCGTGCTTGTTCTGTTTACTTATGTTCCGAGTTCCAAGACATTCCGTGACATATTACATTTTGTGCACCTAACCTATTTTCCTCTATATAAATAAATAACAAAACAACTGTTGTTTATGTGGCTTGTGAAGGTGGTATTGAACTATAATTTATATTTTGCCTTAATTGTTGATTTATAAAGATAATTTTCCTTTTTAAAAGTAGAATATCTAGGTACGTATAAATTATTTCAACTAGATATAGGCGCTGTTGCCCTTTTAAAACTAAAACCCAACAATTGAAACATCAATTTGAATACTTTTCGAAGTGAATTTGAAAAACTCATGAATCAACTTTATTTTGTTCAAACTTGCATTTGCTGTAATAACCCAAATTGAGGAACATTCCCCATTACGGGATGGGCTTTTGTAGCCAAAATTCTTGGTATCCATTTTTGAATTTTATTTTTATAAAAGGAAAAAAAGGTAAGTTAAAACAAAAGGATTAACAAAGTCTTACCTTTGAAAAGGAAATTCCTTATTCATAATCTTTTAATTCTTTCCATTTTGAATAGATTTTCAATACCTACCAAACCACACCAGAATTTGGATAATTTTATAGTTCCTTGTGAAGTTCCAGTTTGTATATCTTTCGCTCCAGCAACAAATGTAAAACTATTGGACGTAATTTGTTTGGTCTGCTTCACAATCAACAGGTGTTCGAAAATGTCACTACTCAGATAATATTTTATCAAGCACATTTTGCAGATAAGTGCTTGATGAATCATAACGAAGCTCAGTGAATCGGTCAAGAATGAAAATGTAACGCAGATTAACGACTGTATGCCTGATCAACTATTAGCCTGTTTACGATTCAACTTCATCTAAATATTGCCTAGTTAGAAATAATATAATAACAGTCTGAATAAGAAATAAAAAAATTACCTCGTTAACCTCTGGAACCTCTTTCGGCAGCACAGGCATTTCTTCCCCTTCTCCCTCTAATATGGCCAGCAAATCGTCATCGTTCTGGATTTTCGTGTCATCCACAGCAGCCTCAACCTGGGCCTGCGCATTTTCCACTTGTTTTTCAACCTCGATGATCTGCTCCTCGATACTAATATTCTGAGCTTCGACAAGACCAGCTTCCACTTCATCATTCACCACGGATACTTCTTTAACCGCGGGCGGCTCGGCTCGCTTTTCCTTCCGGTTCCCCTTTTCCGGAGCCGGGGCAATTTTGCTGGCCAGTCTCTGAGTGAGGCTTCTGGCGAATCTGAGATCGCTTTTGGAAGTAGCCTCTTCCTTCGCTCTAGACCTCTCGATAATCTCCTTCTCCAGCTCCTCTTTCGAAATGATCTGACTCGTCAGGTTGCGGTATGGCACTTTGACTCCCAGACGGGGTTTCGGCATCTGCCTCCCGTTCGGAACCTGATCAACAGGTTTGGAGATGTCTACTCCCAAGAGGTGCATGGGGATTTCATTCCTCCGAGTCTTTCTGCCTCTGGGAGCCGGTTGTTGAGGAGTTTCTTCCGCTGTTTCCTCCGTCACATCGACTTCCATATCCTCCGAGTGAGTTTCAATTTCAAGGACTTCCTCGGTAGGTGCGGTCTCTTCAACAGACTCGGTGATTGAGATATCAACAGTTTCGGAGCCTTCTATGACCGTGAAGTCGTCGTGGACTCCTGTTTCAACCTCTGTGACCTACATCAACATAATATATTTCAGATAATGCTTCAAGAAAAGATTAATGAGTAGAGTAGAGTACTTTATTTGACCATTTTACACAGATAGATAGATAACTATATTTATTTTTCATTTTTTAGTTTTGTATGCTATAAAAGTGTGTTTCTTTGTATTTTTAAACTATATTTATTTTATCTAAACTTTGGGATCAATCAGCCGTATACTGTTTAAAAAAATGACCAATATTTTTGTACAGCGCCATCTGCCCGCGAATAGATCAAGCAATAATGTCGATATATCAAGAAGGTTAAGTACAGCGCCATCTGCCCGGGAATAGATCAAGCAATACTGTCGGTAATTCTGTCAAATACAGATCCGAGCTTGAGAGTTACAGACATACATAGGGGTGAAGTTAATATAAAGCGTGTAATAAAAACTATACAAAATATGTGTGATATAGCCATCTTTCAGATTTGTGAAAACTTCATCAATAGTTATAATATAGTACTGAAGAATTTCTTCAACTCTAGCTATTATTGTGTAGTTACTTTATTTTACTTGTAAAAATAATAATAATAAAAAAAAAAAAATAGATTTCACAATTTTAACTAATTTAAGCTACTTGCATATATTATTTGTCACTGTTCTTGCATCTTTTTATTATGTCTACTTAACTTCTAATAACATGTATATATACACTAACTATAGATAAGCACAATTGCTTTATGTTCGGTTCTGACTAGTCTGATAAAGTTTTATGCTGTATGTACCACATGTATAAAATCTTTTAATGATGAATAAATTTCTATTCTATTCTATTCTATTCTATTCTATATGAATAGGAGTTGAATTACCTCAGTCTCAGCCGTGTCAGGACCAGTCACATCTATCGTCTCTTCCACTACTTCCATCTGCGAGTCGGGAACGCCCACTATACTTTCCACCACTTCCATTTCCTTATTGTCTGAAACGTTGGAAACTTCCTCCACCGGTTCAGGAATTTCCTCGGCGATGACCAAACTCTCACCGTCCACTACCTCAGTAACTATTTCTTCTACAAGCTGCTGTTCTTCAACGACAGTCTCGACTTCGTTGACAGCAGGCCCCAATTCCACTTTTGTATCCTCCTGCTGTTCTGTGACTTCAGTCACTTCCACGTTTGCGTCTTCAGACACTTGATTAGTCTCAGATTCGTATTGAGAAATAAAATTGCCATTGTTGCTTTCCGCATACTGTTCCGTTGAAGCGCTTTCGCAAACTTGCTCTTCCACAGTTTCCTTTTCTTGGGGACAGCTGATTGGCTCATCCACGACACTGAAAGAGTGCTCCTCTTCGGCATTATGATGTTCGTTTTCTGCCTGCTGTTCCAACACGTGAGCGCTGTTGTTCTCCTCGGGGTTTATTTGCGACTTTTCTTCTTCTTGTGGGTCAAAGGGTTCACCGGGTACATTTTCGAGGGTCTCGTTTTCCTTACCGCTGGGACGGTTTGGCTCCAATTCATCTTGATTGGGTTCTGCTTTGGCAGGGGCTTCGCCTTGGACTGTCTTGAACGAATTCATATCTACGGTAACTTCAGCCTGTAAGCAAGTAAGAATTTCATACATACGAACAAAAAAAACTTATCGGAAAAGTCAAAACATAAGTTACCACAAACTATTCAAGGAATTCAAAAGTATCCTCAAGCTCTTTATCAGAGAAACTTTAATAATTATCACGAATATATGTGGTTTCACCAAAGCTCAAAACCGTTTGTCAAAAGGAACTTGCCTTTTAAGGACAATAAAGTTACTTCTCTATCTCTCTTTTACGCATAGTTACAGTGTTATTAGTAATAAAACAAATTTTTATTTTAATACAGAGTGTTGAGCACGAATCTGAAATCAAAACGTTCAAATTCACTTGCCACTACATTTTTTTCCAAAATACTTCTAATTTCTTCAAAATTGCTTCTCTTCCAACCAACTACATCATAATTATGAGGTGGTTAAAGCCACCATCCACAAAAAAAATAGAGAGGTAATTAAAATGTTGGTTGAAAGAGCACAACGTATATGTGAACTTGAGATACTTCCTGAAGAACTCAATCACCTAAAATGTGCCTTCAAAGGGAATGAGTACAGCGAAGTGGAACTCAAGGTGCCATACGATCCAGGAAACAGAACGCCAAAATAAATGAAAACGTTACAGAACCAAATGGTAGACTTTTAGAGAAACCAATATTTAGAACAATGAAAACTATCATACAACTCAAAACTACTATCCAAGAGTATATGTATGAAAATAACACAGCCATATCCGACCATGTTTATGGCAGTGTTACAAAATGATAAAAAAATGAATGTGTTGCTGTCAAATTGATGTGGGTATCGAACAAGTAAGAAACATAATTTTTTTTGTAACTGAAAATGTACTATCAATAATCTAAAATTTGAATTGACAAGTTATGTATCCATCTGCGGGAATGAATAAAGATGTACCTTTTTGTATGCGCAGATATTGATATGTTAAATCTGTGAAGTGCACAATTATTTCAAATTACCAAAGATACATTTTGATTTACAAAAAAAAAAGAATTTCTATCTTTTCGATTCTCATATAATTGACAACTACAAAAGCTGTAACTATTTTCTAGAAAGTACGTTTTTGTATGCACAACTAATTGTATTTATTTGCTGAAATAAAGATGTACATGTACTGAAGTGAACCGAGCTATTAGATGCTTTAAATTACACTGTATTGTTATTGGCGGCTGCTTCCCAATCGAAAGTAATCAGTGTAACACGAATCTGTGTTCTGTGGTCATTATAATCATAATAAAGAAAGATTTCTGCAACAATTGATTTAAAGTGTAAGAAACATTGAAAGTAGGTTCAAATGTCTGTAGTATGTGAAAGTATCATGTTCTGACTGTTTATTACAAGAAATGGTTTCCTGAAATATATGATTTTTTCAACAGCTTCAACTATCAAATGGCCACATCTCCAAAGGTAGATCATAGAGTCAAGTTTTGCCTTCAGTCTCGAGATCAGCAGATTCTAAAAATACTGTCCGTGGTTTGAACTCCAATCTCAGTTTAAACGTAACTTATAAAACTGGCCATAGATAAGATGCTAATATGTGTGCATAACCCGAGGAAAGAAGAATTTTATTTGTCGGAAGTACATGTAATGTGAATGTCATTCGTTAATCCTATAAAAAGTATAGGTCTCAGTAAGGATCCTTGAGAAACCTCAAGTTAAATACTTTTGCAGTGGTTGTGTACTTACGCCTTGCTTGTTTTGATTAAGGTTGAGGTTTTCATCGTCCTGAAAACCTTCTTTGTCCACGTTCATGTTTTCTGTGTGCTTAGGAACGTCGTGAATTACTCTATTACCATTTTCGTATCCATGGGCTATGCCTTGGTCCATCTTCGCACAAAAAATAAAGTATGAACACTGTATTGCACTGAAATCAAACGATAAACGAATCAAGAAATAGACGCTGATAGCATAGTTGCATAAATGCGTCTAAACTCGACCGGAATCTCGTGTAAACAATTCTCACTATCACAGAAAAAAACCGAGCAACTCCGTATTTATACCCGCAAGAGCACTATTTCGGTATGCACAAGTTGGTAAGTTTTCGAAATGATCGAATTAAAATAGCGGCACTAAAAACTCCTCAAACAACGCTTATACCGCAGTTATTTTTATCGCCGGCCATCTTAGAAGTAACTAATACGTCACCAGTTAACTATCTCTAGCAAAGAATACACATTGCTAGTCTCCGCACCGCATATGCCCTATATTCTCAGACAAATGTCAAAACGCATTACTGCCAACCTATGTCAAATAATGTTCTCTATTGGAGTGGTGCCTCGGTGTCGAATTGAGCACACGAGTTCTGTTGAATTTAAATATTTGTTGAAATCCCAATGCAACAATAATTTTATAAGGTGATTCTCAACAACATTACTACTGTAACAGAAAAGACCAAGATCTAATCTACTGGCTGCTGGAATACAGAATACTATTATTACTTTCTCATTATATCAAAGTGACAAAAATAATTGTTAATTTGATATAATTGAATATACTTATATACATAACTTCAATATTCAATCAGGATGAACATTAAAAAAATCATTGATAATTGAACTCACTTATTACAGTTCTGACATAAAAATAATCCTAGCTACAACTTGACGAAATTTCTAGATTGACGATCATCACCTGATAAAAAGTTGATTGTTCCTGTACCGTGCTGAGTGTCTCTTCTGTAAAAGTATTCTGTGACTTTACACAGAATACAATATTTTGTCTTCTATCACAGAATACTCAAAAAAACAGAATCTTCTTCTCCTTCTTTTTTTATTAATGACATTAGTGGTAGTGGCCTGAGCTACTGGGTCTATCCGGTCAAAAGGTTCACTGCTTGTTCAGGAGTCGAGTGGGGTCACAGTTAACCGAATTTGGACTACACTCAAACCCTACTCAAAAGAAATTAGAAATTCAGTCTGTTAAATAAATTTCAATTAGGGAACTAGTCACTATGTTATGGATTACTACACCATTTTTCAGAAAACATGCACTAAAGTTGAGGTATTGTCAATTAAAACTTGAGCACAGAAGAGTGAATCATTTATTTCCTCTGCGGATTAAGATTAGAGGATGATAGGAACGAGGCTATGGCATTGAGGTTTTGTAGTCATAATGAAAAAGGATATAATTCAATGAAACCGGATAAAGAGAGTGTTTTGCAAAATAAAAATTTTATTTTCACTGAGCAGCATAGCTATCATAGCCATCTTAATGATGTGGTGATCATTCTTCGAAATAAAAATTCGAACCAAGGCTTTTTTAGTGGTTAATACAAGGTCAAAAAGTAATTGGTGTCTTTGTACAGCCTCTTTCTTGGCAGTCCATCCATTCCAGAGCTCCTGCTTGAGACGCTGATAAAATTCACCATAACGCGTAGACAAGTAAGTGTGCCATTTCTTCTGTGCCTTAAGTTTATCTGCCTTCTTGTTGCCCATGATTCGTGTACGACTGGAAATTCTAAAGAATCAATAGCCCTACCACTTTCAATAACGCTCAATAAATTCCGTTTCGCTTGCTTAGACAAATAGTCCAGTTTGGCAGAAATGTTTGTAGGTACTTAGTATTGTGGACAAAGCACTTTTCTAATCGCTGAAGCTTTGGTCACATCCGATTCTTTAATTAGTTCAACGACGTTCCTCGTTTACTTTAATGGACAATTGTCAGAGGTTGTTCTTTAAATATACCCTGATCGAAACGTATAAAACCCTCAAGCCTGTCAAAGTCATCACAGTTAAAACTCCAATGCCAGTTCAAACGAAACTTATAAAACTGACCTTTAGAGTTTTTTTGTTTGATGCCGATACCGGAATGACCATTTTCTCTTCCACTCTCAATTAATACGTTGTCACTTTTCATTCCGCCTTTATTTATAGAATTTTGGAATAGTTAAAGAATTGGAATGTTATTGAGGCGTTTTTTGTTCATGTAGTTCTGATTATTCTACCGATTCCGATTGAACAAAAAAACGCCTTTGAAGTTAAATACATTTCATTCTGAATCCCGGCAACACCGCCATTGATGCCGTTGATCCTTGATGATTAATGAAATAATAAATCATGAAACGTCAAATGAATGGTGTGTGTTTGTTGTGGTGAAATGAGATAAAATATAATTTTGTGTTAAAAAATGGTAGACCGTAATGAAAAATTCTTAAACGAAATATTGAAGTACCCCGGCAACAGCGTTTGCGTTGATTGTGGAGCCAAAAGTAAGAAACGATTACATTTTACGACCTATTCAAGGCATGACTCCCATGCCACGGAAAGGAAGTAAACAAATGCTTACGCTCTACAAGCTGTAGTTTAGTTGTAAATTTGGTTTATGAATTGTAGTTAGAAAATCAATTAATAAAAGTAAAGAAATGAATGATTAGGTGTATAATGATCTATGTCCTCTAGTAATATTACCTTGTTTTAAAAACTATTAGAAATCGTTGGTAATTTTAAGGGAACGGTTTTTAAATCATTCTGAAGTGAAAACGTTTCTGATATTTTCTAGAAACCTTAACTTGATTTAGTAAATGTTGGAGAAAAACGGTATTTTTTCAATGTAAAAATAAGACGAGTTGTGAAAATGGTTGGATTTTAATTGTTGAAGACCCTATCGTGTGTAAATTGAAAGGGGGGTATTTTTAAGAGAGATTAATTTTTGGGAATCACTATCATGTGATTCCATCTTGATACTTATATAAAACATCTGAAATGTTTCTATTTCTTAATAGTACAGAAAGTGGGATAGAAAGTGAAGAAAGATCAAACTGGTTTGGTTTCTCTAAGCTGTAAAATGATTCAGTAGAGTCTTAAGTAGAGCAGAGTACTTTATTTGATAATTTTACATACTATTTGGTTTCTCTAACTTAGCTGTGAAACGATTTAGTAGTTTCTTAAGTGAAGTTCTTCATTTCACATAGTATATTCATGGCAAGTTACAAATACAGAAATTTTTGTTCGAGTTACAAAGATAAAATTATCTACTAAAAAAAAAGTAAAGAGTGTAGGTTAATTAAAAGTATAATATAGAATCAATAAACTGAGGAATTAATGAGGTCTTTCACAAGTTAAAGACCCTGACCCATCAATATATTCCTCGATGTTATAAAAACAGTGTTGGAGAAGACACTTATCATCAGTAGATTTAAATTTTGCAAGGTTCAGTGCCTTCAGAGACGAGTGAAGATGATTATACAATTGTGAGTTTAGTGAATTTCTCTTACTGATTGTTGATTTATGTCTGAGCAGGTTCAAAAAACTTGCGGATCCTGTTCCATATGCATGATTGTCACAGTGTCTCTCAACAACTCTTTTATGAACATTAATTTATATAAAAAACACATTTTCCTATTCAGAAAATATTTCACATACATGGAACACTATCATCCCAATGGTGGATATCTGACCTTGATATCTTGTTTCCTCTGAAAGTTCATTTATGTAGAGAAGAAAAAGGACGGGGTCTAAGGTTGTTTCTTGAGGTACTCCCCATTTTACACATCGGAGTTTATCGAAGTCCTGACAAATAGATTCCTTTCTCCTAGAGACCAATGCAGACCAATAAACAATGCAGGCTAATAAACAATGTAACAGCAAATAATCGATTATTCTATTGCTGCCAAGTAACCGTTCAATAAAATAAAATAAATATTTATTCTCAGATCCAGAATGGGCCTCGTACAACATCGGAATTTTTATATGCACTCGCTGCTCAGGGGTTCACCGCAGCATGGGGGTTCACATCAGCAAAGTCAAGCACCTGAAACTAGATAGATGGGAGGATTCTCAAGTGAAGAGGATGAAGGAGGTGGGAAACACCAAAGCCAAACTGAAGTACGAAGAAAGAGTACCTCCTTGCTACAGAAGGCCCAGGGAACACGATCCGCAGTGAGTTGGCACATAACAGTTAAGCTGAAGAGTTTGTAGGCTAACAGAATTTTTTTTTTGATGAAATTTCGTTTTAATATTCAGTGTAGTTGCCTTTGAGGGCGATTATAGCTGTCATAGAATTTTTTGATACCATTTCTATAGTACGACTTGTCTTCAGCCTCATCGCCGCTAAATTTCTTACCGGCGAGCATTCTCTTGAGGTCTGAAAACAGGAAAAAGTCGGTGGGAGCAGATCTGGAGAATATGGTGGATGCCGAAGCAATTCGAAGCCCAATTCATGCAATTTTGCCAACGTTTTGATTAATTTGTGAGAAGTTGCATTGTCTTGATAAAACAGCACTTTCTGTTTCTTCAAATGGGGCAGTTTCTCCACGATTTCGGCCTTGAAATGCTCTATAATAACACTATTCAATAGTCGCTGTTAATGGTTTTGGTTGATATGTTCAACATATTCCTTTGATATCTTCAGAGCCTCAGCTATCTCAATCAACTTCACTCTGCAGTCATCCAAAATTATTTTGTAGACTTTTTTGGTGTTCTCAATAGTTGATTTTCCTGGTGCAAAGTCCGAATAAGGTTTATCAAGCCGACCCTCGGCTTCAACACTATTTTTTTTCAAAACACAATGCTTTATTAACCCACTAAATTTCTTGTATCCATTTTCATCAAACTACAAAAGTTGCTTCACTCAAAATATTGTATCCCACAACCTAATAGTCCGATAGCTGTGAAATTTGTACACGTGACTTTTGAAGGTTCGGGTTAACTGAAAATGATATGGATTCAATACTAGTAGCGCCATCTGTACGTTAGTCTACAAACTTTTCAGCTCATCTAGTAAATCTATCCAAGATGGATAAAAATCTAGGTGTAATATATTGAGATAAGATAATATTTATTAACCAATCGTGATACACTAAGTGTACGTAGTAAGTAAAGCTAAATATGGAAATGGAAACAAAATGAGGAAAATAAGTTAAATGAGCATCACGGTTAGTGATCATAGTCTAATAAAATACAGGGTGTAACTAAATAAGTGTAAAACATTTAAGGAGGTGATTCCTCATCGAAAAAAAGATAGGATCTTTCACATAAAGATATTTCATTGGAGCATCCCTTGTTAAGATACAGTTTTTTTCACAAGCACTGAAAAAGTTACAATATTGAAATTAACCTGACATTTTGTACTACCAAAAAGACACTTAGCCAGAAATTTATTTGGTTTACCCTATGGTTGTAAGGGTTGGAAAACGTAACCCCTAAAATTTATTTCCAATGAAACTTTTCGTCTTATTTGTTTGCCATTTAAAAATTTATTTCCGATACCCTGTTTCATTCTAAACAAAAAATATCTCTTGTGGTTTCTGCCCAAAATAAACCAGTTCACAGCAAAAAATTATTTTACGAACAACTACAGAGATACATCGTCATAAATGCGAAAATATGAAACTAATCTATCTAGTAGGTCGCTATTAGCGATAGTGACAATTAAATTGGTATGACGCTGTCAGTTTGTGAATTTTCGAAATTGAATTAATACTAATTGTGTGTTGTTGTTCTGATCTTAATTCGTTACATTAATAATTCATTTGTTATTAAAATGGCATACACAAATGAGGAAATAGCTGATATACATTACGTTTACGGTCTGTCGCAGGGGAATGGGTTAGAAGCTTCTAGAAGATATACTGAAATGTATTCTCAACGGCAGCATCCTTCACAAAGAATATTTGCTCAACTTCATCAACGATTACGAGAATATGGTTCATTCGACAAAAGAACGCAGGATTGTGGTCGCCATCAAAAACTTTTTCAGTGCTTGTGAAAAAAATTGTTATAAAAATTTTATGTACCCCCTTTAAGGGGCTGTATCTTAACAAGGGATGTTCCAATGAAATACCTTTATATGAAAGATCCTATCTTTTTTTCGATGAGGAATCACCTCCTCAAATGTTTTACACTTATTCAGTTATACCCTATATATTAACATATGATTTTATTCACAACAATTGAATGAAGTTTAAAAATATCCAGACATAAATATACTTAATAGTTATTTATGTATCAAGGGAATTAGGAGGGCCTTAATTACCGATGGCAAAGTTTGCGTCCCGAGGGCCTCTGGCCCGAGGGACAGCAATTGCCTGAGGTTATTAAGACTCATTAATTCCCGTGGTACATAGATAATTTTATTTCTGACCGATTTCAATAAAATTTTGTTCATTTTTGAAACGGAAAAATGTACCAATTCATTACCTTCCCGGTATATTTGAATCAGGTACCGTTGATTATAGTAGAGTTTTCTTGTTGCTAGGTTGTTGCTATGTTACTTGTTTATAAACAGAACTTTGTTATCAAGCTGTGTTTGCGGTGAAAACGTGTTTTCTACCCCAAATATAATGGAGGATATTTTGAAAAAAGCTGAACAAGCAAGAGAATCATTAATTCCATCGAAAAGTGAAGCCTTATACCAAAAAGAATACAAAATATATCTGGACTGGCTGACACGGAAAAATGTTATGCCAAAAGATGTCACTGAAACTGTATTTCTGGCATATTTTCAAGAACTGGTAAGGAATTTTCTATGAGAAATAAAACGGCGCGTATGTTGCCTACTTTGTCATCAGAAGATTCAGGTACCTCGACTGTAGTGAACAGAAGCTCCAGCCATACAAAAGAAGAAATTGTTTCCAGTGGCGGAAGTAATTTTCAGGGAACATTTCAAAATTGTAATTTATTATTTGTAATGACGTGAATAAATAAAATATGGTTCAGTTTTCATTTCTATTTATTTTTACTTGTGAAAGGTAGAGGGAATTATAAAATCTATGTCCCAAGGGAGTTATGACCCTCTTTATTGATAGCGTAACTATGACGATATAAGCTTATAATATCCCGGTCAGAAATAAAATTAGTTATCGTCCCTTGGAGTATTGAAAACATACTAAGAAAATTAGCAAGCAATATGTGTACTCTAAGTCGATTGATTTGATTTTGATTTTTTCGTTCAAATGCTTTAGTTAATGAGAATGCTGGTGTTGCATGTGCTTGTTAATAGATGGCGGTTTATCCATCAGTACAAGGGCAATCCGGGGCCTATGTCCCGGGTGGCAAGTTCCACCATGATGAATTATTCTGATTATCTTCTTACATCGTCTATCAAAAACGATTTTTGCAGGGTTCTAATAGAACAGTGGATTCGCGCCAAATACCAAAGAGAGGAGTTCTGCCATCCGGAACGGCAGGTCTATACGAGCGGAAACATGCAAGGTTTTCTGATGAAGAGAGGCAAGGAGGATAGTAAATACCAAGCGAGGAAGTTTGTTCTTTCCGAATCCGAAGATACACTTAAGTATTTCGTCAGAGAGAATAAGGAGCCCAAAGCCATCCTTCGGATATCTGAGCTGAATGTCGTTTTCGCCCCCGAGAAAATAGGGTATGTAGATTTCCTTTCAACAGTCTTATTAATTTGGCTCTGCCACTTTTGGAAAAATTACAAGCAATTGGATTTCGTGGAACTACATTCAATTTAATGGAAAGTTATTTGCAGAATAGAAATCAACAAGTTAAAATTAATGATGAATACAGTGACAAAAAATATTCATTCGTGGAACTCCTCAAGGTTCTGGTTTGGGTCCGATATTATTCAATATTTACATCAATGTTTTATTTTATATGCAAACTGAAGTGAAAATTCATTCAAACTTTTACAGATGATATGGTGATTTCATATACCGCTAATAGCTGGTATAATTTAAAAGTAAGTGTGATTATTACTATGTAGGACCCAAAATGTAACTGTTGTCTTAGATAATAGTGGTCAAGTACATGTGATATGTTACACTGATTTTGCTAAAGCATCTGATCGACTTGATCACATGATCCTTCTACAAAAACTCCACCAATTTGGTTTTCACAATTTAGCAGTACTTTTCATTAAATCCTACTTACTTCAACGCAAACAGTTTGTATCTTATAACAGCTATGATTCTTTTTATTACAATCCTTCATCTGGAGTACCTCAGGGGTCGAATCTTGGACCTCTTCGACACTTATTATTTATTAATGACCTCAGTAATTATGACGATTGTAATAACGTATTTTTTGTAGATCATTTAAAAATATATTTGCCTGTCGAAACTATCGAAAACTGTAATACATTGCAACGACAGAAAATATACAGACTTGGTGTGAAGTTAACAAACTATATTTCAATGCATCAAAATGTAAAGTAGTACAATTATCGAGTAGATACCATTTCACTGTCACGAAGTAATTCAATTAGAGATCTTGGTGTATATTTTGATCAAAATTTGTCTTTTTCCAACCACATTAGATCGAAAGTAAGTGAAACTTCGAGAGTTTATGGCTTCATAATTCGCAATTGTAGATCTTTTTCAAACATATCTGCTCTATTTACTCTTTATGTAGCTTACGTAAGGTAAATATTGAAGTATGGCTCGTTCTATGGTCTCCATTCTACAATTGCTATAATACATTAATTGAAAAAGTTCAACGTCGTTTCCTGAAGTTTATTTACTTCAAATCTTATGGTATCTATCCTGATAGAGGTATTTCATATGAATCTCTTACCATAACATTCAATATTGAAAGCCTTGAATTACGCAGAAAACTTGCTGGAATAATTTTTCTGTATAAATTACTGCACAACAATGTGGATGCTATGGAGGTGCTCAAGTCACCTGTCTTTAGCTTCAATTTAATTTCAAATTTGTGTGATATCAATGTTGATTCCCTAGAACAGGGGTCTCCAAACTACGGCCCGCAGGCCAAATCCGGCCCGCCAGTGTCATCAATCCGGCCCGCGACAGCCAATGATTTACTGTCATCAATCTGGCCCGCGACAGCCAATGATTACCTAATTGTTGTTACTATTGCAGTGATAAGTTGAAGAAGAAAACACAGAATGATAATTACTCGGTTTTATTTACTTGCAAGGTAAAACTTAACGACAGAAATGATGACAAATAAAACTTAACTTAAGTATCTAAGTTTAAGCATATTAATAACTAACAAGTAATTGAAATGAATCACAGTAAAACAAAAACACTAATGAGATTTATGTAATTGTGATTTTCCACCAACAATACTTTGTAGTTGTGGATCAATTTTACTTGTACCAATTATCAAAAGAGATTTAAGATGCTCATCGGTTAATTGAGATCTGTAAACATTCTTTGTGTACTTCATCTTGGAAAACGTTTTCTCACACAAGTAAGTAGTACCAAAAACAGAGAACAACCCACGAGCAAATTTATGCAAATTATCAAATTGTTCCAGTGGAAAACTATTATAAAATTCCAACAAAGATGAATTTTGATATTTGTTCTTAAGCATATCACTGCAATCTATAGTTTTTTAAATTTTATTTTATTATATTACTAGCAGACCTGGCCACGCGTTGCTGTGGCTAAGGTTTTTGTTATATTACATTGTAGTAAACTATTTCAGAGGAACGGTAGGAGAACATCAGTCACGGGGATCACCATGCTTTTTTTACTAGATGCCATTTTTAAAAAAAATATGGCGACCTCCATAACAGATTTTCTACTACCGTTATTCCTTAGTACAATGAAATTGTTTCCGAAGACGGAAACGTTAAAGCTGGTATAAAAATCCACTGGATTGGAATATGAAGGTGAAGGACTTTAAAACATGATTGATTGAAATTTTCGTACAGTTGATATTAAGCAAAAATCAATACAAAAGAATTTATTTTAAAATTTATTATTATTTTTATTCAATTTTGTAACAAATGTAACAAAGTTGTTAGTAAATAACATGTGACACTTAAACTTATGAACGAGGTAGGTAGGGCATATAGTCTTAAATCTTTAACAATAATATTTATTACTTTGAATTATAAATAATTTTAATTTCAATTTGATTTAGCACTAATCTTTGCACAATATTTTTGGTTAACCTGTCTTTAGAACACAATTGACGGTTTTCCTACACGTGAACATGCAACATATAGTTGCCCATGAGAAAAACATGGATTTTCCATATCTAAACCACAAATGGACATTGTTTGACCTTGAGACTTATTTATAGGCATGGCAAAAGCTAAACGAATTGGCAACTGTAGCCTTCTGAAGGGTATAGTAGAATCTGACGGTATCATTGAAACACGTGGCAACAGGACCACTTTTCCTTTGAACTTCCCAGTTAAAATGGTTGCTTCAAGAATATTTCCGGTCATCTCGATTGAGGTGGATTCAAATTACGTAGGAGAATAATAGGGGAACCAATATTTAATCGAAGATTATGTGGTGGCATTCCAGGTACATCTAGTGAATTTAAAAATTCAATTGGAAAATTTACACTTTCATTTTAATCAATAACAGTGTCGATTGATTTAAAAGACATCAGATCGCCTGGTAACAACTGTTGTATCTGGAAGGTAATTTCGTCAACATCGTAGCTTGTATGACACGTTTGTAGGTTTAACATAGCAGCGCCATCTATTGATTACTTACTCAATCCAGTCAACAGATACCGCCATCTGTTAAAATCGTTTGGAGTTAACAGATAATCGTCAATGTCAAATAATAGACAAATAATTTGCAATAGTTTGCGACTATAAATTAAGATGTAAGCTATCCTATCTTTCAAGTTGGATCAAACTGTATACGGTGTGCAAATTTGATTAAAATCGGTTGAGTAGTTTAGGAGTCCATCGCGGACAAACAACGTGATACGTAATTTATATATATATTAAGAAGATAAGATAATTTTGTTATTCATTTTCTCAAATTGTAACTTTGTAATTATAAGTACCTATATTACTTTTTTTAACATACTTAGTTAACCTTTTAAATGGTTTTTAACTGTTGGTTAATAAAGGCTATTATTATCATTATTATTATAGGACTACAAATACTCTGTGAAGTAGATGAACATATCTATCTACCTATTCAGAATTCTATATTCATTTGTCTTACGGTAACGAATCCAGGTACCCGAACTCGCTGCAGCTGACGTTCCTGAAGGACGGTACCACCCGCCACATCTACGTCTACCACGAGGAGGGCGAGATCATCACCAACTGGTACATGGCGGTGCGGTGCGCTAAGCTGCACCGCCTCCAGGTGGCGTACCCATCAGCGAGCGAGTGCGACCTCGTCAACTTCCTGACGGAGGACTTCGCCAAGGAGGGGTGGCTCTGGAAGACGGGTCCGCGGCTCAGCGACGGCTTCAAGAAGCGCTGGTTCACGCTGGATAACAGGAAGCTGATGTATCACGACGAGCCGTTGGACGCCTACCCCAAGGGCGAGATATTTTTAGGTAATGATCATGTATTTATTGTGTTTTGAAATTCAATTATTTACAGAGTGTGAGTTCATCAACTTATTTGCAGATGATACTTTATTGGCCTGTACTGGAGTAAATTTAGAACAAACTGTTGGCAGAATGAATAAAGTTCTAGAGAAAGTAGAAAAATGTCTGAAAACCAATAAAATCAAAACTAAACGTTAAAAAAACAAAAGCAATGATAATTACTACTAAATTCAAATATAATCGAATAAATACAAACAACATAAATATAAAAATTGAAGATGAACGTATAGAAATAGTAACATCAGTGAAGTATTTGGGATTTCAACTTGATAACATAAAGTACGTCACACGAATTTTAGGACTTTTGAACCCCTCCCCCCGTCCTTGTCATAGGTTGTCACATTTTTATAACTCAAAAGGACCAGGTACGTTTAAAAGGTGAAAAAATATGTTACAAACAAACTGACAGGTTTGAAATTTGCTGAAACTTATTGAACTCAGTTGCCTGTTCAGAAAAACTCACCTGGAAAGCTCCCTTGGAGAAAGTTTTACACAGAGCCAGACTTTCTCTATGAACATTTCGAATGATTTGTGATAAACTTAGGGTTTAAGTCCCAAAAAAATCAATTGGATTTATGTGATGATTGTCAGACCAATGATCACTTATGGTGCAATTGCTTGGTTGCCGAAGGCTTTATAGAAAACGGTCCAAACGAAGCTCTCTGGTTCACAGAGACAGGCTTATCTGGCCATCTGTGGCTTCGTCAGTACCACACCTTTAGCGGCAATGTTGATCCTTCTAGATCTACCTCCTCTCCACCGTTTTTTGGAGAGAGAGGCTAGATGGACTGCATATAGACTTGTGCACGTTGCCAATTGCATAAATCAATTTAATGCAGAGTGCAACAGATTGTTGGTTGACAATATTATGTGGGGAATATTATGTAGCAGATAAAGTACTAAGTAAGAAAAGGATGCCTCGGAAAATGAAAAACGATGAACAGGAATACAAAAATCTAGTAAATAAGTTTCTGTAAACCAGATTTGGGTTTTCCTGTTCATCTCTAAATTAGTGTTTTATTCTATTAATCATGGTAATGTTTTTCAGGTCATTTGCTGGATGGTTACTCTGTGAGGATAGGAGTAACGGTAGGCGTGAAAGATCAGGGTTTCTCTTTCTCTCTCACTACGCCGGAGAGGATTTATAACTTGTCTGCGCAGAGCGAGCACGACCGGGATCACTGGATTGACGTGATACAGAGGGTGCTCGAAAGACCTCTCACACCGCAAGATTCTGCAAGTAAGTTTTTTGTGCTGGGATAGAAATATGTTGGGGTCTTGAAATTGAAAAGTTGGGCAAATAACTGAACAACAATTTTAATGGTCTAATGCAGGGGTCTCCAAACTACGGCCCGCGGGCCAAAACCGGCCCGCCAGTGTCATCAATCCGGCCCGCGACAGTCAATGATATACTGTCATCAATCTGGCCCGCCAATGATTAACTAATTGTTGTTACTATTGCTGTGATAAGTTGAAGAAGAAAACACAGAATGATAATTACTCGGTTTTATTTACTTGCAGGGTAAAACTTAACGACAGAAATGATGACAAAGAAAACTTAACTTAGATTTCAAGAGCCACACGAAAGCTGGCGCGAGTTGCAGACTCTTGTTCAGTATTCGCTTTGATAAACAAAGATTGCTGCGATTTTAGTCCGCGTTTCAAAGCTTCAAATTTTTCCTTCCGCAAACTTCCTGTATACTTGGAGTAACTTTGAAGATGTTTCAATTCATAGTGTCGTTTAATGTTATAGTCTTTGAGAACAGCTATGGTTTCATTACTAATTCAACATAGCGCCTTATTACTGGACTCAATCACAAAATACTGAAAGTTCCAGTTTTCTTGGAACGTTCGGCATTCACTGTCGATTTTTCGCTTCTATTCCATACTAACAAATCATACATAAAAACAATAAGTCAAATCAAAATACTTTTATTGACGGGTGTTACTTTATTTCACAATAGACAGTTTCGCTTCCTTCGTCTTTCCTACGCAGACTAACTCGTAGTTGCGCCGCTAGCCTTTTTATATGCAATTATTACTGCCATCTCGAGGTGATCGGAACTAGAACTTTCTCGAACCAACGCGGTAATTCCAAATATTCAATTACGCCTAATGCCACCTAGCGGGTAGCTGAAAAAGATAGTACATGGTACCACTACTCGCCACTAGATGTCGTTAAGTGTCACAATACACAATAATAATTGAAATGCAGAAAAGCGTAAGTTTGCTTAGGTCACGCACTTTGCGACTATCCTAGTCTAGAAATATAGTTAAGGGCAGAAATTGGCCCTTGGAACAAAGTGAAAAAATCATTTGGCCCGAAGGCTTCAAAGTTTGGAGACCCCTGGTCTAATGCGTTATTCTACTTTGAAGGAGACAAAATAGAGGGTAATGAATAAGAAAAGACAGAAACTTTCCCAAAAAATTAATCACTCCTAAAAATATAACCCCTTCAATTTAAATATTGAAATATTAAAACATTGAAAAAAATGAAAATTTATGCCTCTCACCAGGGAACTAAACAAGCTAAACAGTTGAAACTGTGAACATATGTTCAAGACGAGTGATGAAAATTCACCTCATTTTTTTAACAGACCTCGTATTCAAGCCATATTTTTGCTAAGTAAAGGGCACAGAGAAGATTGGGGGGCGTTGAAGCGGTTTAGGGGGGCGTTGGCTAATTTAAAAATGTTTTTGTTTTTAACACAAACTTTACCGCTCCTTTACGCTCAACGTGCGTTTCTTTGTGTAACGCCATCTAGGGGACTAGACAGTAACTATTTCCTGTCCGATACTTGTCAAACTGTACAATAGATGGCAGTAGCTTTAATGCGAAACGAGAAGTTTCGCATTGAAGCTTACCGCTTCGATGCGAAACTTCTCGCATTGCAGTGCAGTCAACAAGCGTTCTCTTTTGAAAACGGGTCTACAACTTTCTTGGTACCCCAGGTTGAATATCAATCTTATCAGTCGTTTTTGAGAGATGAAAACTCTAGAAAATTCCTTTGCACATCCCCATCCCCAAGCAAAAGAATAATCACCTTTTTTTCTGTTCCAGTTTGCGGCAGGCTGCTGAGAAGAAGGACGAACACCAACTCGATGAACATATTCAGCCAGAGGTAGTGGCGTCGCATGAAAGCGTTCCGTGTATGTCTTTCGACCTAGTCTCGTCTTAATAATCGTTCGTCATTCACATATTACGCAGTCGGCTCAAAAATACTCAACGTACAGGTACAATGTGTCTCCTTTATATTCGATAGGTGGTTCGCTTCCGTTCTAGACGGACCCACGACAAGTGGGAGTGAAATCCCTCGGAGGACTTGCAGTTCGTTTCGCTGGGGATGGAAAAATTGTATGAGGGCTAGCAAGAAAGTTCGCAACTACGGGGACTTTTGAATTATTTGGAACTTTCACTTTAATGTTTATTTGTCCGCGATTTTGAATTGCCTCAACTCAAAAACTGCCTGCAAATCCGCCAGGACCGTATTCGGGGTCAAAGTGTAACAGTGTTCAATTGTTTTAGTTCTCTCGAGGATTAGACTCGAAGAAAACTGCCAAAAAAACCACCAGTTGTGGAACGTTTTCATAACCTCTCCATAAGTTTTACTTATTCTGGATCACTGAGCTAACAACTATCTCAATATTCTGACATTCTGCTTGTGGGTACTATTTATTGATATTGTCATTCAGAATGTGACAATAACCACAGTCGTGATCAAGGCAAAGGTTCAAGAATCTTATCTGATCACGAATCAACCTTGAGTGTGTTGTTAACTTGGTATTTGGTTACTAAAGAATGAGTGCCAAGTGTTTATGCTTCTCAAAAAAAATTGCGGAAAAACATTTAAGGTGGCCGTGTAATGCAGTATAGTTTTTTTTTTTGAAAAACATATTCAGGCTCTACTATATCGTCAAGAATGCCATGAAGAATAATTCAGAAGACGAGCAGAGTTCAGCTGTTCTCTTTTACCGATGATTTAGTTTAGCTTCCCACCAAAAGATGGCGACACTGTGATCTATAGAAATAAAATTATATTCTAATGACTAGAACGCGCATATACTTGTACGAATGGATGTGGCAGCCACATTTCTTTGTGTCTTCCTCATAGCAGCAGAACATATTTCTTTGATTTGGGAACCTTGAATGTGTAATAGTTAATTGAAAATGAAAGCATACATGCTTGGAGCATTTTTTCGCGTTCTAGACATTAGTATGTAGTTGTATTTTTATGGTCTAATCCCATTCGTAAATATGCTCGTAGGGAAATGATTTTTATCACAGTTGAAGTATTTTCGAAGATATATCGAAGCGACATTTTGGCTAGATATTTTAAACATAGCAGTCAGTTTTTGAGTCAAACTTTGACACCCCTTAGCAAACTGTTATTATTTTTTCATGCATAATCACTCCCTGAAGTTTGTCACGCTTATTCATCAGCATTCTCATCATTGACGCTGAATTTATTTCTAGCGAGCAGTCTCTTGAGGTTTGAGAACAGGAAAAAATCACTGGGGGTCAGATCTGCAGAATATGGTGGATGCGGAATAAATTCGAAGCCCAATTCATGCATTTTTGCCGTCGATTTCATTGATGCACTTTCTTTTAATAGTCGCTGTTGATGGTTTTTCCCTTGCCAGCCGACTGTTGCGTATTTGCACGTGCAGTCCGCTCAGATGACCATCGTGATGGAGCCATGTTTTCTTCATTGTCGCATATCGACGCATAAATACAATTTTTTATATGTTTCAAAGACTGTTCATATTCAATTTGTTGTTGTTTTCGGTCGATTGTGAGTTTGCGCGACACCCACTTCGAACAGAGCTTTTGCATACTCAAATATTCATGCACAATATGTTCAAGACATTCCTTTGATACCGTCAGAGCTTCAGCTATCTCGATCAACATCACTTTACAGTCATCCAAAAGTATTTTGTGGACTTTTTTGATGTTTTTGTCAGTAACAGCCTCTTTTGGGCGTCCACTGCATGCATTTCACTTCGTTTAAACATTGCAAACACACTTCTCAACTGTTGCTTTTTCTGGTACAGAGTATGAATAATACTTATCTAGCCAAGCCTTGGCTTCAAGAATTTTTTTTCGCCAAAAAGCAATGCTTTATCAACACATAAAATTCCTTTTCATCCACTCAAAATGTTCTATCCCACAAACTAACAGTCCTACAGCTGTGACACGTGTCTTCTGAAGGTCAGGGCTAGCTAAAAATCTTATGGAGTTGATACTAATAGCGCCATCTATGTGTTAGCAGATGGACTTTTTCGCCTATCTACTGCATAACAAATACTTACCTGTGCCTTACTTTGCAAAGGGTCTAATATAATATATTTGTGTCGTAAGATGAATCACTTGATATCGGTCAATAATTAAGACAACAATCGCTGATTAGCCTGAAATAATAATTCCTCTAATAAATTCATTCAGGCAGAGTCTGCGCCCCAAAAATATTCACAAGAATTTTCGGCTTACAGGTAACGGTACATGCTCAGTAGCTAGATGATATTTTTTAGATGAATTCATAACGGAAAATAGATGGTTTGAAAGTGGAGTTACCTGAAGTTTGACAGGCGCCTAATTTGACGGCCACCTTAAGGAAACAGATCCTGCTTAAAATTTGTTTCAATGCGCGTCGCGGCACTAGCCAAAACAAAATTGTTACTGAAAGGTAGTTGGCCAATTGAACCCTGTTGAACCCTGAACCCTATTTTATAATATTTATATATTTGTGTATATTGTATATTATTTATGTGTATCGCTATTGTAAGTACTGGCATCGTAACACTGTTCTACTTGTTTATAATGTAGGAGGTGCTGCTAGCTATTAAGAGAAATCAGTGCTACTACGAAAAGTTTTCATTTCTTACTGGATATCGCTTCGCTATATCCACAACAAAATGATTTATTCAGTACAAACAAATGATAGTATTAGGTGCGGGAGCTGGCATCTTCCATTTCGCTACCGTCATAAAAGTTTGCTTGTGCGATATGTCGCTAGGTGGCGCACTAAGGGAGATTGAAATGAAAAAAATCAATGAGGAATATCTTTCTACCCAAAAAAGATATCGATCTCGGTCCAACGGCATTCTCTGGCTGAAATGATGTAGAATACGGGAAGACTATGAAAGACTCGTGAATTTGGCCCTTTGACCTTCAATTTCGAGATCAAACTTTCATTTTTTTTTTCATGAATCGTGAAAATTTGCCGAGTTGCCAATTTTTTTCTCAAAAGTAGAGGGAATGGCGAAAAATTGAGTGGTCGCACGTCGAATAATATTGAAAAACGACAAAGCTATAAATTTTCAAAAATTTGGTAAGACGGCTTCTCTTCCTACATACTGTCATAGAAAAAATCAAGGCTATGCATCAGTGAATTGAGGAAAAAAATTGATAATGAACGACTCTGGAATTTTTTAGACGTTTATTCATTTGAGATTTGTTATATATAACCAATTACTGAAGAAAGTTTAATTACTTAATATGTAAATTTACATTTACATGGTTCAAAATTTTTCGATGTTGAAAATATAAAAAAAAATATTTTCATTTCGTTGATGCATAACTCCGGTTTTTTTTTTCTAATGATAGTATATAAAGAAAGAAGTCTCCGTGCCAATTTTGAGCTCCTAATATTGCAAATGAATGTCTCTAATTGGTTTTTAAAGTTAAAAAAACAGTCGAATTTCTGAAAATCCATAGCTCTGTTGTTTTTCAATATTTTTCAACTACTCTTTTTTGGATATCTCCTCTTCTTTTAAGAGAAAATAACTTCGCATCTCGGCAAATTTTCATGACTGATGAGAAAAATTGAAGTTTGAACTTGAAGTTGAAGGTCAAGCAGTCAAAATGACAAGTCTCCTATAATTTTCCCTTATTCTATATCACTTCAGCCTGAGAATGCCGAAGGACTGAGATCGACATCTCCTTCAGTGTGGCGTTTGTATTTGTCTGAAATTGTGACAAACCGTTCGAGCAGAAAACTGTATCCATACCTATTCACTAGTATACTGAAGTTTGTGACCCTTTGGTAAAGCGCCATCTGTGTGCAACCTCTAGTCTTGCCAATGACGTTTGACATCTGACAACACATGTCAAGAAACTAGGAAGGGATGTAATGCTATCAAAGGGACGACTTTTGTGTTCAAATTTTGATGTATTTGCATATCAGATAGACTGAAATGAGATGAAATGTCTGGATCTTCGAACCGGTACAAACTAGATGCGAATTTCCTAAGTATAAGTTTTGCTTGCCTGTTTTTTTCATATGGATAGTATATGAAATGTTTTTCCTATGGCAAACGTTTTTCCTTGCAGCATTGATTGGTATTCCTGATGTATTTTATAGTTATTAATTCTGCTCAGCAATAAAGACTTTGTATCGGATTGGTGTTTTATTTGTCATTTGTTGATCTAAATGGAGAAAGCAGATAACAATTGTTTCTTTTCGCCCTTTTACGTGAATATAGAAAGAATATCTTGTTTGGATGTCGAATTTTTTCCGCTCATTTCGATTGAACGGAATTAGTATTCACCGAGATATTACAATTTTGAGTAGACTCACAAAAACGGACAAAACAATCTAATATATTGGCATTTTGTAAGTCGAATTTATTAAAAAGAAGCTTTTAGGCACATATCACATATTTGTTTTGAATAACAACTGCTTCTGGATATACATCAGGACCGAATCAACCCCGTCAGAGTTTCATCAAGTTCATCGGCTTGAAGCTACCAAAGAACTCTATAAAAAAATCTGTATTTTGACAATCGAATCCATATTCAACATAATCTACAGTTACAGTTACACAATTCATCATAGTCGGCAGAATCCTCACATCAACTGCTCCATCTCCTGCATGAAAAGCTTGTAAGCATCGTCTTTGGTACGCCCTGCCAGGGCGTTCTGGTGCATGTTGAACTCCTTTTGCTTCATCTCTCTGGCGAAGGCGCTCGGGTTCTTCATGGGCTTCTTGTCCTCCCTCTTGACCCTCAGAGCGGACGGAACGAACCTCGTTACATCTGCGCTCAAATTCCTGGAATGAGAACACTCGTAAGGACCGAGCGAAGATTCCAGTGCTATGTTTGTGAATAGCAATTTCCGAAATTCCGCTTCAAGTAATATTGAAATCTTGGAAATATTTCCCAAAAACAAGCACAGTTATGATAAATGCAACCAGAGAAGGTTATATGGTTTAATAAAGTGAGTAAACAGTATTAAACAAAAAAGTCACTAGTTTTTTGAAAACGCTGAAGAATGAAAAACAAGTGGCGCCATCTATGATTGCAATGGAAAAACAGATTGTCTATACTAAAACCAATAATGATTGAGAGTAGAATAAAGCCCAGTTGACAGCAAATCGGGGGCGTGCTTATTAATTTTTGAGAGGGTTTAGGAATGAAAGAAAAATTCTTAGTACAATTAGTTAAAATATTCATACACATTTTTTATTTATTTCATTAAAACTTTGCAATATCGTAATTTACCTAATCGTTGTAGTCATTAGGTGGGCCTTATGAAAACGGAGTAATAATCGTGGTAATTATAGTAGGTACCAAATAAATTAACAATATTAATAAAAAACACAATATATATATATATAT